AAAGATAATATCATACTTCTAGGAGTAGTGTTAGATTCTAAGCTAAATTTCTCTGAGCATGTAATCTCTATCTGTAAAAAAGCCAGCCAGAGAATTGGTGTTCTAATGAGACTACGTAATTTAATTCCTATGAAATCTAAGTTAATATTATTCAAAAGCGCGATATTACCATTCCTCACGTACTGTCACCTAGTGTGGCATTTTTGTAAAGCGAGTGACACTCGAAAGCTTGAAAGACTACAAGAAAGAGGACTTAGAGCGGTTTTCAAGGATAATAATTCTAGTTATGAACAACTATTAGAGAAGGCAGATCTGCCAACACTACTAAATAGTCGCTTACAGGATCTGTGCATCTTATGTATAAAGTAAAGCATAAACTGTGCCCTGCATATATAAGTAACATCTTTAAAGAACCAAATAGTAATTACAATCTGCGGCAAGCAGATTTCTCTATACCTAGGTATGAGACAGTCACCTATGGCAAGCACTCTATTAGATATTTAGGGCCTAAGCTATGGACAAAACTACCCAAGAGTATCAGGGACGTCACAACCCTAACGTCGTTTAAAAGCAAGATACGCCAACTCAATATAATGAACTTTTAGATGATGGCTGCGCAGGCTGTAGCCTTTGTTCATTTTGACTTCTGTGTATTTTTACGAAAAATCTCTTAATTAGTTAACTATAGATATTTTACCTACTACTGTATATAGTTTTTAGTTTGTATATTCTCCCCTAATTGGTGTCCCCAAATTAGTAAGGGATTTGTTCCCTGGCTAGACGGTTTTTGACACTTTAATAAAGTTTCTATTCTATTCTATTCTATATTCTATTCTATCAAGTTTTAGTAGGTACGATTCAAATTTGAGCCACCTCGGGGAAACCATCTTTTCCAACATTTCCTTACAAAATTTGGCGAATTGTTTTCATGAGAAACAAAATGTTGGCTCGGCTGGATGGGGGACCCTACTAGCTGGATCACCCTTTTGTGATGCTAGGGTCACCCTCCCAGCCGGGCCGACTTTTCTCACTTAAAACAATTTGGCTCGCCCATGTCACCTCCGTCAATGCGACACAATCAGAGCATTCGCGAGCGCTTTTTGCTTAGGGTCAACGTCTTTCTCAGCTGGGAGGATACCCTTCTTTCTGGGACAAGTTTTCTCCACTGTCTCTCCGTCAGCGGAATATGAGGGAATCCAGAGAAATGTAAAAGGCATTTGTTTGAAACGTATGTTCGGATCGGGAGTGGTCGAAAAAAGCCTTCGGTATTATAGCATTTAGACAAAATCCCCCCGCTATCCCATAGGGACCCTGTGTGAGTAAAAGCTCATTTGAGGCTGATTGTTTTTTTCTTGGTACGGTCAAAATTTTATAAAACGCAATCATAACGTTTACTTTTTCTTGTGAAGGCCTTACTTTATTTCTGCTTATCATTAGTTTTTTTCTTCTTCTTTTCGTTTTTTTTTATCAAACGGGAAGCGGGATTTGGTCACTGCATACACCCTAGCAGCCTTCAAACAAGCTCTTCATCTGAGGGATATCGTGAGAACTTTGGTGGCTTGTAAAATTTAAACCTTTTGTAAGATATACAGAGATGGAGCAGATGAACTTCGACTTCACGGTCCAGCTGTATTATTGATAAACATTTCTGAAGGCAATAGATCCCGTCACTAGGCCGTTCCCTGCTTATTTTGTACTGAAAATGAGACCAAAAACAGTCGTTTGGATTTTTCACTTTATTTTGTTAGTTAGTATCTGACAAACATTTAATGTGTCAGTATAAATAAAAAACTTTATAAGACCTTATATGGTAACAAAGACGATTGACCAATCACGATGCTATGTAGAAGTCTATAACGAAAAGGAAGAACAGGGTGAAAACGTCGTGCAGCTAGATATAAAACACTTTTTATGCTTGAGGTGCATGTAAACAACCGCTTGACCTTCATCGTCTAATGCAAAATGGAACCTGAAAAATAAAAATACACAAATTAAGAGAAATCAATCCCAAATTTCTAAAATTAAACAGCCCCAAAATCAGGGTCCTCTCCTACTCGTCCCTAGTCTCCTCTTTCTCTCTCGCTCCGAGGAAGAGTAGGAGAGGACCCTGGAATTGACGTTTTAAAAGGTAATGCATTTTATTCGGAGCGGGAGGGCTACGTTTTAACAACAACAAAATTAGGCCACTTCCGAGTTCCAAAAACCCTCACTTTCAAAATGAGGCTAGGTGCACAACCTTTCTTGTGAAAATGAGTTTTATTTCCATGAGAATGAAAAATGATTTCCATATTAAAGGTTGAGCATCTACCCTCGTTTTGAAACAGAGGCCAGGGGGAACTCGGAAATGGCCTACTATACAGGGAGGTTCTGCTTAGAAGTTACCTCTTTCGCCCCGTAAAACTTCAGTTGAAACATTGCACCTCTTTCACTGACCAATTTAAAACTGCATTATTGATTGGCTAAACCTATGGAATGACTAAGCGGAGAACATCTACCAGAAATACCTACCCTAAACCTGACCATGAAAAAGAAAGCCCTTTAGGGGGAGACACCCTTTGTATGTAATTATAAGGGAAAATTATAGAGAGCTCCCATCCCCGCCGACCGGGGATTTTGATCCTCAGTCGTACAATCCAACTCAAATTCCGTACTACCTCCTACATACAGCAGGGTGTGAGACTAATAATAATCAATCCAAACGTGATGTAGAGTCTGTTTATTAAGCAATTTGGCACGTTAAATACGTGCTCTCATATCCAGAAGCGGATCCAGGATTTCTTTTAGGAGGGGGTGCACTCGTCTCTTGCTCTGCTTCACCACCAATAAACCACATAGTTTTTTTTTTTTGCAGAATACCAGTTGTATTAGAAAACCGCAGATCATCTCAAGGTCGGGGGGAGGGGGAGGGTGCGCACCCCCTGCCTTAACCAGTCGATTCTCTCTTAGCGGACACCTCTATAAAACGGACACCTTGAGTTGGTCCCTGTCTGTCTTTACTCCATTTATTTGACTCTCTATAAGACGGACACCTCTGTAAAAAGGGCACCTAGAGTTGGTCCCTGCCATTCTTTACTCCCTTTATTTGACTCTTTATAAGACGGAAATCTCTCTAAAACGGACCCTTGGAGTTTGTCCCTGTCTTTCTTTACTCCCTTTATTTGACGCTCTATTAGACGGACATCTCTCTGAAACGGACCCTAAGTACCGGTTCCAAAGTTGTCCGTGTTAGAAAGAGCTAACTATAGGGGAACAAACCTTTGAACGCGCGCGAGCATCAGCATTCCACAATTTCGTTGTGCGGCTTCGTTTGTCCAGCCCGATTGCAGTATTTGTTTGAAACCGTCAGCTTGAGTTGCTCAGGTTCTCCGTCCTCCTTTAGCACCACCCAACCAGTCCATTGACAATAATATGGGATTGACTTAGCTCCGTTAATGCACTGAGAACAAACCAGAATAGAACTGAATGATTGTAAGATCAACTCATTAGACCTTTCGCCCCATGTAAGGCTAGGGATCCAGATTCCGGAATTCGGGAAATATTTCTAGTCGAATCCAGGGTCTTGGGCTTTGGAATCAGGAATACAGCACAAGGAATCCGGAATCTCACTAGCGATTGTAATTTGGAATCCAAGTTCCACTGCGAAAGAATCCGAAATTCAGTAACTGGAATCCGAAATCCACGGCGTGGATTCCAGAATCCCAGACTGTATTGGATTTCCTTGCATGAGGCGATACCTTCCGTAGTAGTTAACGTTGCAATTATGACTGTGGAAAATTGTTGTCTATCTGTTAATTTTGGCACACTCTACAGCCGTTCGTAGCACAATAGCTGAGATTATGTCGTGGGACTTGCTCATTCCAGGGATACTATTGTTTTTTTTTCGGTTGGATTGAAAAATGCGGGACGAGTCCAACTGCCAGCTAATCAGATTAATACTTTTCCTTACAGTGATTCCGCCGCCAAAATGCTCTCCCTGACACACACACACTTCTATCCTACCAGATATGAAAGCTAAGAATTCGATCTAGAAATTGCTGTTTATGCTTTGCATGTTATCCGGTAACTTCTGCATATGCGGTATGATTTCGATGGTTCTAAAAGTGCGACAATCTTTTTGGCTAGATTTTCCGCGATTATTGAACGGAGTACAATCCACTACGGAAGGGGGTGCCGCAGTCATGTTAGTATGTTAATTAAAAGCATAGATAGGAAAATACCTCCTGCTTGTTCCCGCTTCCATGCCTGTACTTCACAGAGGGTGGTTCGAACTCATCGTCATGGAGAACTTGAGCTGTGTAATAATACGAAAAACAAAAACTTGCTGTTCTTATGCTTGGATGTATAGGACGATTCAGCAAAGAAAGGTGAAATGAGAAGGCAAAAGTACACGAAAAGGGCAAATGCATTTTTCGCGCTCAGTTTTTAACCTCGTCCTCAGGGTTCTCTCCTATTGGTCCGCTTGTCTGTGAGCGCGATTTATTTTATTCTATTTTATCCTAGATATTTTGAGAACGGACTTCAGGAGCTAGGAATGGATAAAGGAGAGTCTAAAACACAAATTTCGGTAACCAAGGATAGCAAGGAGGCAGAGGTTCTATGTTTATTGCAGACATATTGAGACGAGCATAATGTTAGACTCAGTCCCCCAAGCACATATGCTCTAAAAATTATTAGCATGCTTAGCTGGAAGGATCGTGTAGCAACTGAGAGTAAAGTTCTTACAGAGATGCTGAGAAGCCCTGCGGATAATGGGAAAAGACAGCGCTCGTTTCTCGCGGCAAAAGCCGCGCGATAATGGCAGCTTCAGTGCCGCAAAACTCTTACACGAGCAAAAGCTAATCCGCCAGCCACGCAGGCAAAAAAATTATAGGCTGACTGACCTTCGTCCATCATGATTCTATCCAACAACCAGGCAGTATCCCTGTAAACATCTGGGTTATCTGGATAAAAAAAGAGACTAGTCAACTCTCGCCATACAGTGAATTAAAGTGAATTACACTGAAGTTTAATGGCTGAAAACCTCTCGCACTCAAGGACTCCGTAGCGGTGGTCCCCGAAAGGAACGAAAGTGTCCTGAAATAAAAGTAAATTGACTGTAGCTCTAGTCGGGGAGGAGCGTTGGATGACGACACTAAAAACGGCTGTGTAGCAGACTACTGTAGCTTAAACTTGAGAAGTATTGGAGGCAAAATAGTGCAGTATCTTGCGCCAGTTAATATTTCTGAAATATTTCTTCAGTGTAGTCTGTTTATAAGCGCCGTGGACTGCTGCGTAGATTAATTAGGCTGATTATTATACATTGTACTCACTATCTGTCTTCTCATTGGCTAAGATTCTACAGCTAATTTTGGAAATCAGCACAACCTACATATTAGCTATAGTTAGTTATCTGCTATCATATAACTGACGAATCTGTAGGTTGCGCACGAAATGCATGATTTCCAATAACAATATCAATTCAGGTTCCTTGCGACGGTGTTTGTCGTTATTTTCTTCTAAACGATGTATAATAAAACAATTATTAGATTCAGTTTTTGTGATATCCTGAATAAACAAGGTCTCGGTAAGTATTATCAGCTTCGGTCTACTGCTCGGCTGATAAGACTGACCTCGACCTTGATTATTCCGGATATCACAAAAACCTTATCCAATAATTGTTTAGAGGTGAAATAATAAGGCCATGGAGGATTCAGATCGGCTAGAAGTGCGAAGTATTCGAATTTTCCAAAGAATATTTTGAGACTGAAGACTGTAGATCCAATAGAAAGGTGGATTTCTACCGTCGCATAATTTTTTAAGTGCGCATAGGCGCGTAAATGAATTAGAAACAATGTATGCAAGGCCGCGCTTAAATTAAAAATCTCGCTCGACTGTTACGTTTACGCGCTGTCTTCCATACATCTATTTACGCATGTAAAACACAATTACGCGGCAGAGGAAATCTACCCTTAGAGAGATCTTGAGAGCCACACTCACCATCGACAACTTAATTTGATTAAGAACGTTAAAGCTTGTAAAATTTCTTTTTAGGTTTGTAGATCAACACCATAACTTGAGCAGTTTTTTTGGCGCACGGTTCCCTTGAAGGCTTTTTTAATTTAGGCGCTTATAACCTTTCAGGTGTTCGAGGCGTAAAATATATTCAACTGATCACTTTTGAAACGGTTATTAGCCTTGTAATGATCATAATTTATGCATACAATAAGAAGTCAAATTGGCGGGCATTCAGTATTCAAAATGCAGAACGCTAAGACCACTTAGGAAGACCCATCTGAAGCTCTCGGCTTAATTTCGGGGCCTTCAAGTACCGGAGATGGTGCCACTGAAGGTGTTAGGATTAGAATTGGGGTTCCAGGACCTCTGGTGAAGTTACCGCGGTATGACCTCCAAAGCTAAAGCATTCCGGCAGTTGATGATTGTCGATAACCCTGAGATCATCAAATTTAATTTTCAAAAATCTTCTGCTGGAACGATTCAAATTGTAAAAGATCGAGAGAAACTGGAGGAGAATTCTTGTATTTCCCTAAAAAAGATGACATACGAATATTGTCATGACTAAGCTAGGTCATCTAAGAGCGTTATGGATCAGAGAGCCTCAATGTTTTCCTTTAGTTTCGAAACTGACCTTCATATTCCGGAATTATTCCTCTCTCCCACAGCATACTCGGCTTTCCTTCAGCATATTTGCGTCGCCCTGAAAAAAAAAAAGCCCCTCAAACTATGTGGGAAACTAATCAATTTTCGGAGTTACTGTCACTAAAATATCTTACAGTATCACTCAAATGACACTTAAAGGCACTCAAATGTTGTACCATTTCAATACTGACCATTGGCCGAGTAGGCGTTCACTGCAGCAAGCATACAAATCACGACGAAAACTAGCTTGGACATAATTCTGGAGGTGTTCTCACAATCAAGAGTTTCAAGGACCTTCTCAGTTTCTCTCAAGGCACGAATGATCCAATTTACAATGCGTAGAGGTATATAGAAAAGCGCAAAAAAAATCAAATCAGGGTCGATTTACCGCCATTGTCTAGAATTCGCTGATTGGCTTTTCTGCGTAGCTGGAGACAGATTAGCGGGAAAGTGTTAATATTGTAGTCCTGCCTCCCTGATGCTGGCTACTGATTGGCTAAGCCGATCACGGCTTAAATGGCAGTCAGTTTACTAAACAATACATTAAGGATTATGAAAAAGGGCGAAAAAGATTCTTTGAAAGAATCCAAAGCTTTTGTCACTCTGAAGGGGATCAAGCGTACTAGGCGCGCTCAATAGAAAGTATAATTATTTTACAACGAATTTTAAAAGAAAGCCTTAATTACAGCAGAGAACATAACATATCTAATTGAGAAGCGGTCCTTTCATGCCAGCTATATCTAATATATTTCTCTAGGAGTCTGATCTACTCAGAGGTCTCGAGTTTGTACGAATACCGTTACCTACAAGTAGTGACGGGCTATTTCAAATGCGAAAAAATTATTTTTGACCAAATCCTCCTTGGCCTCTTTTCGATCAATTTGCATGGGGATGGCTAAAAACGGCTCGCAGTAGATTAAGGGCATATTCCTGCCAATCACAATTTTTTCGCCCCTGGGCATAAGCAAAAATTTGGACTTGTTTTTTTGGGGGAACCTATTTCGATCTTTCCCCCCCATTGCATTCCTTTCACAGCCAGTTTTGTTGCCCTCCTTATCGCATGGCACTTTGGCTGTCAACCTTTCCAGGAATTGACAAATTTAATCTGCAAAGAGTGGTAGGTAAAGAGCAAAATTGTCAGTGGATTTTTCCTCAAAATGTCTCTATTTTGTGTGTAATTCTGTCGGGGTCAAAATTTTCCTTTTTTTCAGGAGAAGAAAGTTTTTACTACCCCCCCCTCCTCTTTTAAGGTCCCTCCCCTGTTATCTGAGTCTAACAATCGTTTTATCCGCTCACACATTGTTCTCACGTTCTTGGAATAAACGCTGCCCCATGTACGGCTGACCCAAGACAGTCGTGGATACTGGATTCCTATTCCAGATAATCAGGAGCCCCATAAGTTGTGGGCTCCTGAAATAATGGATCCCGGATTCCAATCGATAACAGAACTCCGGAGTCCTTGAGCTGAATTCCGGACTCCAAAGCCCAAGATTTTGGATTCTTCAAAACAAACAAACAAACAAACAAACAAACACACAAAAAACGCATTCCGTTTCCTGCAAGCCGGAATCCGGAGCGCAGTAGAGAAGTACGGTGGCCCAGAAGGGTCACACATGCAAATTAAAAATGTTGCTGCAAACTAAAAATTTTACCTGCAAATTAAAACTTGAACATGCAAATTAAAAATTGTACATGCAAACTAAAAATATTACAAACCTGAAACATGAATGGCCCGACGGCTGTAAGGCCAGGTCGCACGGCTCGGACCAGGTCCTCATCACTCATACTGCGCGCGCAGGACTTTTCGTTTTTAATTTGCATCGATATGTTTTCTATTTTCAATTTGCAGTACAATTTTAGTTTGCATGTACTATATTTAATTTGCAGGTAATATTTTTAGTTTGCATGTACAATTTTTAATTTGCATGTACTATTTTTAATTTGCAGCAACATTTTTAATTTGCATGTTTGATTCTTCTGGGCCACCGTAGAGAAGGGTCTGGCTCGAGCTTGAAAAACTTGAGCCCGCGCTACTAAAGTTGCCAGGTCTTTGCGCGGTTTCCAAGCAACACCAAAAATCAAGATGGACGAAGAAGCTGTTGGAGCGACAGACAATATTGTGACAGAATTTGCTACATATGAAGACTTTCTTGACAGTCAAATAACTCCACTAGATCTCTACTACCTCGAGGTATTGTTGGTCTTAATTTTAACTTGTTTCTTACTCGAATTAACCATACATCTCTTCTTCGAGCGAACGTTGTAAAACCATGAAGTCTAGTTTTCTATCCTTCTCTAGCTTCCGTAGAATATAGGGGATCGACTCATCGATATCTACAACAGCAAATTGCAAATTGCAATTTAATAATAGGTGATAAAAAATAAAACAAAACACTGTTAAACTCAAGCTAGACACGAGCAGAGGCCCTTCAATCTTCCTAGATGGTCAGGTATTTATTAAATATGCAGTACAGCTGTATATGCAGAAAAAGGCCTCCTTTATTACTAATCAGCCAAACGCCACAAAGATATAAACATACAGAGATCTATTTGTTTTATTTTTCGCTAACAATAAGCTAAACTTTGAACTCTCGGCCACTTAATACAACATGGACATAAACACTGTACATGCATCTTAAAATCCCAACATAAACATCTTAAAAACTGCTCCTGCAGTCGCCAAAAAAAGAAGAAGTCTAGCTCCACAATCTGAATGTATCATTTCTTGACAGCATGGTCAGTCCACTATTCTAAGCTACTTTCTCTGGTTGCAAACAGTAATAATATTTTAAGTCAATCAAAACATGACTATCTTTACTGTGCGTCAGAAAATTTCCCAGTGTACACTGTACCAAAAAGAGTAAGTTAATTTTTCCTTCTTTCTAGTGCCTTGGACGATTTGTATTTATTTATGTTTATAGGATGAGGAACTGGCTAGACAACTTGTTGAGCTGGGCTACAGAGGTAGTGGAGAGGTCAGTAAATTTAGATCTCATATCATACCGTGTTAGCCTGCAGTGCAGGTGTTTTCATCAGGCGCACGAATGTTTTACTTGCAAAAGCACATGTTGAAACTCGAAAAAAGGGGAGAAAATGGGGCGAGTTGAAAGGAGCGGGGTAGGGGGCGGGAAGAGAGAAGAGACAACTATTTTCCTCCCCTCCCCCTCCACCTTTCCTTCTTTCGCCCTAGCACCTACCCTTAGGGTTACTATTTTTACTCTCCCTAACCTTCCTCCGTCGTAACAAAGATGGCGGTTACAACAGTACGAACATAAACAACAGGGTTCGCACAGTCTTGAAAAGTCCTTGAATTTTAGGGGAAGTCCTTGAAAAGTCCTTGAATTCCTTTTTTTCTTGAAAAGTCCTTAAATTTCTATGCAAGTCCTTGAAAAGAGCTTGAATTTTCTTCAACTTTGAATGTAGTAGCCTGGAAAGAATTTTTTGATGCTTTTTGGTTGTCCCAAGACAGAATATAAATCGTAGCTCAGTGAATGTAAAGGTCATTTACATAAAGTGCTCCATGTTTTATGCAATAATTAACTATCAGTTTAAGACAAGTGAACTGAAAAATGTAGAGAATTTGGTGAAGCAAACAGTTAAGGCCTTAAAGTCTTATTAGAATATACTGGGAATATGCATTTTTGTACAATCTGTGAAATTATATTCCTAGTAGGTTGTCCTTGAAAATCTAATGTGGTCCTTGAAAAGTCCTTGAAAAGTCCTTGAAAAATGGTTGCAATTTTTTGTATGAACCCTGAACAAGCAGCTTTCGTTCGCCCAAAATACGCCTGCACTGCAGGCTAATACAGTGTATGTGATATTGCTGGATATAATAGATCCCCAGCAGTGTAAGCAGGCATGACAATATAGGATAAACTTTAATTTACAAAGAAACAGTCCAGAAGAGGATGTATTTTTAAAGAAAAAAGAAGGAAAGAAAATATATGATAATTTTGTCGGGACATTGGAAACTGTCCATAATATAGAGGTGTCTGTCTGGAGAGGTTCAACGAATTGGCATGCAGAATTGCATTTTGAATGTCCCTTCAACCTGATTGGCAATTTAATTATGCCATTTTTAACAGGCCAATCATGGTATGTATTCAAATCCATGCATACAGGTGGAGGCCCAGAACAAAGATTTTGGCACTGTTTTTGCAGACAAACTTTGTAACCAGGGCCGGGTTGTTCAAAGCTGGGTTAAGATAACCTAGGGTTAGTGTGAAACTTGAACTCAGCTATGAGAGCTTAAAAGACAAATCCAGTTTAATTTTCTTTGCCTACAATTTGATGATTGGATACTCTAAAAGAATAGAGAAAATTATCCGAGAGAGTGCTTTTGATGAAAAGAAAAAGAAGCCCGGGTTAAAATTTAACCCTAGGTTAGCGTCAACCGGTCTTCGAACAACCGGGACCAGAAGTTTAGTTTCATCTGGCACAGGCAGAAGAGGATTGAGTATCTTGGGAAGTTAAGACTCACAAGTCACAAGAGATTATTAGATGACATTTCCTTACACGCGCAGTGTATTTTTTAGAAACCTTGAATACCTGAAATATTTCGGAAATGTTGATTTGCAAAATGACCAATCACAACAAAGTTCTTGACATGTGAGCAAACCACAAACCACAAACTAATTTGAATTACTTTAATTTTAAATTGGCTTTTTCCTTGCAATGCAATAAACATTTGTGGTGTTATCTGTCTGCACATTTTATAGCAATATATCTGTTCCACTTGATAGGTTCTCAAAAGGGAAGAATTTGAAGCCAGAAAACAAGCTGCAGAAGCAAGCAGACTTTCCAAGAGAAGTCAACAAAAGTAAGAAGAAGTGGACTCTTACTAAGTGTAGTTACTTGATTTAACAGTTCTGCATACCTTTCCTCCCCATCCTAATGAGCCATCCCTTCTAATATTTGCCCCCTCTCTGAGCTGCTGGTATGTAAAAAAAAAAACAGTTTCCAATAAGACCCCATCCTGAGAAATACAGGTACATGTAACTATTAAACATTATGTGATAATGATGATAAGATAATACATGTTTTGTAAGTTTTTGTAGCAACTGTGCTGCAATGAAAAATCAAGCAAACCAGACTGTTTGATGAAGGTTAGATGTTGTAGAGTTCTGCATAATAAGCAGGAGACAAGAGGAGCCCCCAATCCTAATCTTTAGGTTGTTATTACGCGTGCACTCCGTGTATGTAGCCAGCATTCATTTGGACTTCCACCTAGAATGAATGGAATGTACAGAATGCAATTTGATCATGAGCATCTCGACCTTCTACCCCTTGTAATTTGATCGCACGTGTTTTGGCCATCTGTCATGTGAAACTTACTCAAAAGCAAAGCGTTAGATCATATTAAAGCGTTAGGACCTTTGATCGTTGTTGCCCACACTCCCTAAGCTTTGGTGGACTTTTTTGCCTAATGGCTGATTTAATCGGTCCTCATGATATGGTGTCCAGAATAAAGAGAATTGGCTGTATTTCCAAGAGAAAAAATATATATATATATATTCAAAATTTATTTAGCACTGGCCAGCTTCTACATAATTATGTAATAAGCCCCACACCCTCTCCTTCTAATAGCCGCCAGGCCCCAATTGTTCCAAAGTTGGATAATGCTATTCCACTAGATAAATTCATATCTTATGCTTATTATCCACTGGATAGTTATAAATAGCTAATGGATAGTGCTATCCACCTTTTGAACAACCAGCAGCGCAAGTTGGTAAGTACTCCATGCTGAGTATTATACCGCTGTCGATAACATTTAATCAAAATACATCTAACAGTGGTGGCTTTTAAATTCTGTGCCTGATTTTTTCTGAGGGTGATTTAATTTGTTTGTTTGTTTTTTTTTTTATTGCAGAACTTTAGCTAGTTCAGGCAAGGAACTCAAAGATCCATTTTTGAAGGCTCTAGCACAGCGTGAAGAAGCAAACAGAAGTGGAAAAATGACAGTAAGTAATGTACAATATTTTCAGTGGTTTAAAGCTAACCTGTTGATATACTGTAACTAAAGAGGCCTTTCAATTTATAAAACTTAAATAACAGTTATAGGTTGTCATTTCGTTTGTAAATGAAAAGAATTTATTCACAGTACCTATCTTGTATTAGTACACGACAATATGCCTAATTTGATGTAAACATAGGCTATCCCTACCCTCTTGTTTTCACTCATCATTTGTTATTAATTTCAGTTTCTGTTGGAAAGATAGAAAGGCTGTGTACATTGTAACTTAAAGAACATATTTTTTTAATCCTTAATCCCCTAAAAAATGACAAGACAAAAAGGACAGAACATGTGTGTAAGTGCTTATTAATTGATATTAATAAACAGTTTTAGCAATTTTTAAGGCAAAAGAACAAACATTTCCAACAAAATGTCATTAAAGCAAAAATCAATCAGAAAACAATGACCATTGTACATGTATGTTGTGTATTACTACAATGTACACCCTATTGGTATTTGATACCTACACTGTATTCTTCAGTTGTAAATATCATCAGTACATACATCTACATGACTGTAGTGATCATATTGTTCAAACTAATGCATTGCTATCTTATCTTCATTTCTTTAATAATTCAGACCGTAATCTTCATCAGAGATAAGAATGCTAGGGGACAGGTAAGTTGGTGGTCACTTTTTTATTGATTGGAGTGGCTTTTTACCCCTCTTTATCTGTACACAGACGTTGTTTTCTTTTCCTTTTCGAAATTTGGCGAGGACACGAGCAAAGATAGCACAAGAGAGCGAGTGCATAGCACGAGGTACTAGCGGTCAATAAATCCCTCGTGGGTAATTTTCATACGGGCGTGCGACGACCTCTATAGAGATTTAGAGGCTCTGTGAACAGGTTATACCCTTCTTTGCCTTTTGTGCCAAAATCAAGCAAGGAATTGCTTCCCCATGAGAACTAGTCTGCGAGAATGGCTTCTGCTCAACATCGTGTATGTGCATGTAGCTTACTTATCTTTTGTCAATAGTCATTTCCCAACAACGCAATCTTTTTCCACTATTCGCAGGAAATCTCTGGCTACATTGACTTTGCTCATCGCTTGAAGGTAAAAAAGGAATGAAGTATTTTAAAGGTTCAGTAGCGAGTAAAACACCAGGCCCGGTTCCTGAAAGGTCGATTAGCGCTAATCAAGGATTAAAATTTTGTTCCTTCTTTGTATTTTACCTTCCTATGTATTGCTGGGATGAGAGTCACATTTTTTTTTATCATTTTCCGTATATCGGAGTGAAGGCTCAACAGTATGTTCTTAGACAAGAAAACCTGGCCTTGTTAAAATTTGGCTTAATCCTGGGTTAAACTGAACCATCTTTCGAGGAACCGGTCCCTCAGTTTACATGTAGTTGTTCACCATATTGAGCTTCTTTTTAGATCTAATCGAGCTCTTTTGGAAACAAACAAACAAAAAAGAATGCGATTCACGCGGCAGGATTAGCTCAGTCGGTGGAGCACTTGACCGCATGCAGAGCGGGAGGTCGCGGGTTCGATTCCCGGGGCCGGACCAATACTCAGGGTCTTAAAATAACTAAGAAATGGAGGTACTCCCCTTGCACTGCAAGAGGATAGACCTTCGCGTGGCTCGGATGACCACGTAAAATGGCGGTCCCGTTTTCATTAGGAGACGTTAAAAAAATAGTGCCCCCCAATTAGCACTTCGTGCTAAATAGATTGACACTCAAATAATGTGCATTTTTTTTTCACGCACAAGAGAATTACCGCAATTTTGGCTTCACTGTTCATTTTAATCATGATCATCCCCAAAGATATACAGTGTTGATTGTGGAGGTATAGTTATAAAGAGATAAAGACTTGAGAAATAAGACTGAGTTTTGCTGAGGGGAACGTACAGCTCCATGTGGTAACAATCCATACTAAGTAACTTATTAGCATCAGGTTCGTCATATGGGCCAGGGGACTTCAACGTTTTACTTGGGCCTAGGTATCGGCTGTTACTTACAAAAGGACAAGGTTAACTTAACAACCTTGTTCCCAATAAAGATGACGTAGTATCACGTGGTTGAGGAATAAGAGAGCTTTAAATTTGGGGAAGAGGACGACTCAAAAAAATCGACACCCCGGAAGGATTCGTTGCACGCTTTTTCACCATAAAAATTTTAATGATGGCAAGAGCTTTAATCCCTTACTCGAACGAAAAATGATCAAACTTTTAACATTTGATAACTTTCGATAAAACCCGTAGATGAATAACAGTGGCTACCACGTTTTCCCGCCAAAATGTACCTGATCCACGCGCGCACACTACTTAGTATTGAGAATTTCTCGTCCTCGTAATCGTTTTTGTCTTAGAATCTAAAGATCTCTAATAATAAGGTTGACGACTCCACAGTTGCTTCAGTTCAAGGGAATATAAGACCTTTATGTTCTCTAGTTTAGTCTCACCAAAACCAAGAGTTACTTTTCGTGGAGGTTTCTTCTCACGCTGCACCCTTCTTGATGGTCGCTTTCATTTGTAACCCCGGGCGTGGCTAGAAATTCTCCAGGGGTACGCACAGTGTTCTAAATCAACCCTACCCCGTCTCCCAAATCGTTTGGACGAGGAGAGCTTGACTAATTTTCCATTTTTTATCAGTATGGTGGAGTAATTTCTTCTCTTGGTCTTAGGACCGAGTTGTTCAGGCAGCAGGAATGGCAAAATCGGAAAGAAATCTCCGCATTTTGTATTGAAACAATTATCTGAAAAAAGTTAATGCCAAGTTACGCAGCCGTTTTTCAGCTATAATTTATTGATTTCTCTTTTGTTATTTTTTTATTTAATATTATTTTATTGGCGGGGGGGGGGGGGCTGGGCGGTTACGCACAGTGGCGAACACGCCTGTGGACATCCATAGCCTGAGAAAGCAGCCGACATTTTGCGATGCAGATCTGGGTAGTGCTTCTGATTGGTTGAAGCAAATTTCCCACGCAGCACCACCAATCAAAAGCACTACCCAGGTCTGGGTAGTGATACATCTTCAGTATAGCATTTCTGCGCTCTTTCCTCATACGTCTTTTTGGGGGGGAAATAGTTGACGTCACAAAATGTCGGCTGTTTGCTTAGGCTAGGACATTCAGTGCATAAATCCAAGATACATGCTGTAAAATTGCTGTGAAAGAAAAAAAGTGGTTTTTGGAATTCGCACTTGTTTCTAGTTTCTTGTTGCTTTTTTTTAAAATTATGCCGAAACTTTGCTCTAAGCGATGCAAATAAAAGCTAAATGTTAAATGTTTTCTTTTTCTTTTTCTCAGACGGAAGATTTTGAACCGTACTTCACTGGAAGAAAGCGTTTACTGCCCAGACCTTCTGATTTAAGCTTCTACAACTGGGAAACTCAAACTGCAACCTCAAATCCCACGCCTAATTACCAGGTATGTATTCCTTCGTGCTTTGTTCTGTCGGTTATCCTGTTCCATTGGTCGGATTTTCCAGATACAGTTGAACCTCCATGTGCGACCACCTCCCATAAGCGACCGCCTTCCAAAACACCAAAATTTCCTTAGTCAAAGCCTTACAGTTGGAACCTCTGGTAAACAACGACCTCTTGTGAGCCTCCGCGACCACTTTTTAGGCCTGAAAGCTTAATGATTTTCCATTGTTTTAACCTCTTGTAAGCGACCACTTGACGCATTCTCTGATCTCTATGTTTGCTGTTTGCACTATGTTACTTAGATTTAGTGACAACATGGAACTACACATGTCGTAACTAAGACATTGTATGCAAGAAATTATCTTCGATAAGGTAGATGTGCCTGGACCTCTTCTCGGAAGAGGTCCCCTGTGGTTCGATTCTTGTAAACGACCCTATCCCGTAAGCGACCACTAAGTCTGCATTTTGGGTGGTTGTTTACAGGAGGTTCTACTGTACAGAAAATTTGTTGGTTAGGGTAATGAGGAAATCTTAGCCAGGGGATTTGAGCCAATCAGAAACGGAGAAGTATGTTGAATGAATAATAATGCCCAATAACCAACTCTTAACTTTATTAGAATGTTTCTCCGTGTCTGATTGGCTGATTGGACAATGTATAATGTACGATAATAAGAAGTGAAAAAAAAAGAAAACTTTAATAATAGAAAGGGGGAGATTTTACTCACATTCTCACACGGCCTGGTACTGATTTATTATTTTCAGGTTATAGCAGAAAATCCGTCTGGTTTGCTTTTTAAAAATAAGAGAGACAGGAAAATTCTCAACGTGGATCCAAAGGTACAGCTGAAAAATGCAAATTATTATAATTTATTATACTTAAAGATGCTTTCCACAAAGTGGGATCGACCCTTGCGATTTAAAAAACTTCACGGATCAATGAACCATCACCTAATTGAACACTCCAGAAAATACTATAACATACCATAATGCTTGTTGTTTGTCATCCCAAAATTTTGCATAAGGATTGTCTTCAGTTTCTCTTGGGAGTTAAAATGGCCCAAAAGAAACTGAAAACAATTCTTATGCAAAATTTTGGGCTGACAAACAAAGAACATTATGGTATGTTATGGTATTTTCTGGAGTGGTCAATTAACGACATTGATTGAATGTCTAATTGAAGTTTTCATCTTTTTGTTTTTTGTTTGCTTGTTTATTTGTTTTTTGGTTGGTTTTTAATTATCACTGTTGCAAGCTGACTGTATTTGCAGGCTAACCCATCCAGAATTTTTTTAAAAAGCATACCGAAAAAAATTTATTACATTGTGTGATTAGATTAACGGGTCTGATGAAATCAGCGCTTTTTGCAGCGTTGTCCGATTTTAGTCCTTTTGCTTCTACTCTTCGAATTTATTTATTGGTTGTTTGCACATGTGTACATTGGGGACCAATGTTTTTTCCTTCTTCTCTTCAACAGGCGGTAACCCCGGGCGATAACTCCGCACGAATCTCGATTGAAACCTCAAAATACACCCAGGTGGTTATTTACGATCACATTACTCGCAGAAAGACATAATAGTTTATATTTGTTTTGTATTTATTACTATTGAGTTGTAAATAAACGTAACTAATAGAATCAGATAACTTTATTGCTGTTGTTAATGATTTGAATATGCCAGTTGATTGATGAAAGTTACAGTGACGCCTCCATCTAATCCACCCAGTTTGATTTGTTGTTTCTTTTTAATTTTCATAAATCTAACTCTTCACGGGGATCTATATAGCAGTCAAACTTACGTTCCCGAAGCACCAGCTTTTACATGGCGCCAACAAGTCTTGTTTCCGTTTTTAAGCAAGTCAAAATCACCCAAACTAATAAATAATTGATGAGGGCAAATGCAGAGAAAATAAAGTTTCAGGCCAATTTCAATATATTAAAATTCATACTTGGCTCCGAGGCTTAGGGGAGTAAAACAAAAGAGATGATGAGCTTCGAGATGATTTCTTTTGTCTTAATCTCCTAAGGCTAGCTCAAGTCTGAATTTTAATACAGTGAAACCTTTATTAAGCCGGAACACCCTTGGGGAATGCTGTAGTGTCCGCTTAATACAGGGTGTCCGCCTAATACAGGTTTCAATAGATAACGTCTTATGAGGTGTCAAATGCCATTCAAATGAACAGTGGAAACGTTTAGAATACTCCCAGAGAGTATGACGATATACGTAACTTGCATTAATCTCTTTATTAAAGTGGACTAATTGATGATAGTACCATAAACATAGATTGCAACTCACATTTGAAGAACTCAGATGAGTGAACAAGCTCTATACAAACAAAACGAAATAGAAAACAACACTGTACTGTGAAACTAATCAAATAAGTTCGTCAAGTCACGTTTTTTAATGTAAAAATGTTAAAATTTGTGGGTGGCAATCTTTTGTATTTCTGGTGTCTGGCATGTTGGGTGGTGGAATTTAATTACAAGTGTCCGTTTAATACAGGTTGGCAACAATAGAAATGACCATTTCAGGTACCTTGTAGGTGTCCGCGTCCGCTTAATAAAGGTGTCCGCTTAATAAAGTTTTCATTTCAAGTAAATAAGGGAAATAAATTTGGGGACTTCGGCTACTGTCCGCTTAATAGAGGGTGTCCGCTTAATGCAGGTTTGACTGTATATCGAATTTGCTCCGTGTTTTTAAACCCAACAAACACGTCTAAAATCTAAGCCCTCAAAATTCAGAAAAGTAATAATCAAACCACACGAGTTTCTCGAAAAAAGAGGAAAGTCTTAGGCCGGGGACGTTTAATAATCTCGCAGTTCATGTTTCATCAAGTTTCGGAAAATCATTACAACTTATTAACTGATGGCCTACTCGTTAAAAACTATACCTTGACGTTTTTTAAGTAAACTTTCACTAAACGGATATAGTAATTTTCTAGCCTACTGGTTACGTATGAAATTTTAACAATGAGAAACGACAGTTGTAACTTTGAAAGACTTTGCCTTGTTCTAGCCAAGCTCATCTTTGTTTCGTTTCACTGCGGTCAGAACAGAAGGCAACAGCTGACTAAAAAACTATAAAGTAACATAAACAAGCACATGTTTGGTGATGCGCGCACTTGAAAAAAAGCTATCTGTATCATCAGTTGTTGTGAAACTGTTAATATTCAACACGTTCAAAATTGTCGATTGTGGGTTTATAACGTTGATAATAATCGTTCCTTGTAATTCAACAAGAGCAATAAAACGTTTTTAACCTACAATTGTGAGAAGTCGTAGAAGGTTAATAGCCTTACCAAAGGATCTTCAAATTTCATCTTCGTACTCAAAATTAGAATCCTATTAAAATCAAAACTGAATCTTTTACCATTAACTGAGAAAAATATCATTTATGCCCTCAAAAGGTAGAAACGTTTTAAGAAAAAAAAACTCCTAGACAATTGACGGGTTCTCGGGTTGAAGCTTAAATTTGGTCGTCCGTACAGACAATTAAAAGACTTGCATATTAATCACAAAAACGCAAGCATTTTTTAAAACGCATGCAAATGACTTATTAGTTTATAGCCACATGAAAAGTCACGACAGAACCTCATAATGTTGGGGAACTTACAAAAATCATTTTCAGCCAATAAGCGTTCGGTTTAGCCCAAACCGGTCGTAAAATGGTCATAAAAGTAGGTTATTTCCTGTTTTAATGGACAGTTCCCCGCCAATAAGTGACATCTGGCAATATACAACACTTTTCAAGTGACGCTCCTGCATGAAATGTATTATCGCACTCGTACGTGCGCCGATTACCTTCTATAGTTCCTGTGGCTTAGTCATTGTCGAAGTTCCACAGAGTCCAAATTTCCTTTACTGAAGGTGGAAGCTAACCACACAGCCCTTCTAGACATCTGTACGTACGGCAGAGTTATATCCTTACTGCCCAAGGACTATTAACGAAGCCCACAGTTCGCTTGCAAAAGGGTAAGATGCATTTGTTTCTTAATGTAAGTTCGATTCCACTTTTTAAACCGTATCGTACGGTTTCTATCTAAAGAGACCAGTGGCTATTTTTACCCTTAACTAAGGCTGAAATGAAAATTTTTGAATTTATACCATTTAATTTCTGCTATATATGGAACAACAATGCTCATTTCCACCATTTCTCTCGGTTTATTGACCGTAAACTCATTAATTTAAAATTTGGTTTCCTGAATTTCGCTATTCAAACTCAAAGTTCAGTTCCTAAAGAAAAGTTCATGGCTTTCCCCTATCAAATTTAAATTTTCATTGATCCCAAATATACACAGCTGGTTTGGAATTGCCATCATCTTTTACAAAAAAATTCTACTCATTGCAAAATGATTTCATTTGCATACGGCTCTGTTGGACTTGCGATAAACGTTAAAAAGATCATTTATCGTGTCAGAAGGGAATATGATGTAGTCTATGACCAGATGGCGAATCGTTCAATTCTGAAGCTCTTCATAAGCTCAGCAATGGTTTAAAATCTGTAAAATTTTTTTGTCGCCGGTACTGTAGGACACATCGTCAGTACATTTTCAAGTGGTGCAGTTCTGACTATTTTGATAAGAGTGAAAAAGAAGTAGGATCCGCGTTCATCAAAACAGTAAACATCCCGAAGCAGGTGAAAAGAGTTTGAAATGCAAACAAAATAGTCAGTTTTAAAATATTCCGAAGTACCGCATGACAGAGGAAATATGCTAAACATTTTTGTTTCAATTATCGCTTGCGAGTTCCGTAGTTGTAATATGCAACCGTATACTTTTGATTTTTTCGTTCATAAGAGACTGGTCGTTTTCTTTAAGGAAGGAATAGGCAAAACTTCGATGAGAGGGGCAGAGTAAAGTTTTAATGAATCCCGGGAGAGTAGTTCACATATATTTTGAAGTAAGGGTTTTAAAAAGGGAGTCCGATTGAGGAGAAAACTTCTTTAATTATCTGAAATATTAATAGAGAGAAATGGCTGGTTAAAGCTATTTAAGATCTTTGTTTTCAGGATTAAACTCTTGATTAAATAGATTTACATCCCCTACAAAAATAAAATCTTTTATTGCATGATCATGTATTTACAATTGATGAGCCTAGTCAGGTCAGTATATACCAGTGTAATGTTGGTCATAAATTACGTCTTTATAAACACCTGCCGGTGTAGCATAATTTGTTTTTAACTTGGCTAAAACACGACAATCTATGATAACCCATCTTAATCCTCCTCCATTTTTCCTTCCCCCCTCCCCCTCCCCCCGTGTCTCTTACAGTGATAGCAAAAGCGTGCGACCAAACCGGGAAGAATTCGATTATATGAGCCAACACATGGTTAGTCAGTGAATCATCAAGAAGTGGTTGACAGGAAAGAACACAGATGGTCCGTATCAAGGCACACACCCTTTGTATAGGTTATGAGACAGTGTTATTAATGTGCAGCTAAATTGGCCTCGGTTTTCATTTCAATATGTTTAACACGCTAAAAACTTCAGAGCTTCAAACCCTGACCGGTTTCATTAGCAGCTGTACGGCGCCATCCGTTCCCTCGATCGTCAAAACAATACCACCATCTACGCGCAGCATGAGGGTAGCCCAGCGGTACTGATCAAAGGTGGCTCTCCGATTAGCTAGCTTGGCGGGTAAGGTATCTTCATTTTAACGCAAATTCATTGAGGTATAAACACATTCTATTGCAAGCATACAAATCTAGCGAGCTCGCGAGAGCAATAGAACTTTTATTCAGAAAAAAAAAATGTCGTGTAGATTACTATTGCCATCAGTATTCAAGACTCTACTTGAAAGTTTCGGAGAGAGTTCGAGCCGCTTTGGGACGGTACTGATCAACTGCTGTATTACGATGTAAAAATCGGTTCGGTTCGAAACCTTATCTGACCGAAGTCGCGTATGCGACGACGGCGACGGCGACGGCAACGGCAACGGGAACGTCAAAAAAGCCGGGTTAAGATTAGCAAAACAACAACTTTGCACGTGCATCACGCTTTTTTGTACATTTCTTTGCCGTCACAGCACGACCACGGCGTGAAAATGCCTATTTTCACGTTTTATGGAGGACGTAAACAAGCTACTTCGAAATTTTCTTCAGTTTCTCTTTCTGAACTTGGATATGGTTCTTAGGAATTCAGCTCCGGGAGAGTTCGCCTAAATTTGACAAAGTAAGTTAATTGGAACCGTCGCGATGAAGATTAAATGAACGCGAACTCACTTTTTAGGCGATTCAGTTTTCGCTGCTGTCGCCTTCCTCGGATCTTAACGTCCCTATTTAGTAAAAACTCTGACTTCTGACAGAACTATTCCTACAGTTCTCACACCACGTAGTCTTGCCGCAACTTCTGCAACGTAAGTGATAAAAGGTATCAGCTGTGTTCTAATTCGATCGTCCTAAGTGCAAGTGAAGCCAGACTTCTCTGTTTACCCTATTAAATTTAAGTATTATTTACCCAGTTAGGATGGGGCGAAGGAGTAACTTGCAAATTTAGGGGAGTGGGGGTTAGGGGAGGGGAGTGATCTAGCACTGGTTCAGGTCTGGGGAGGGTGGGCTTTGACATAATGTATCATCACACAGATGACTTTTCCCGTTGCCCATCTTAAAATAGCACGAGTGCCATGTGATAGCAAGACTTTTAAAATATACCAATGGGCAAATGAACATGTTTGACAGATGTTCTCGCACATTTACATACGGAGACTCAGATACAGCGCACGATACAATCAACTGCAAAAGGAGTCCTTCTTTGCCCATAAAGGTAGCTTGTATTGCTGTAAAATTTCAGACAAAAAACTTCAGTTCCAGTGTAATGTGAAAACTGTAAGCTTGTATGTGAAGATGCCTTTGAGAGACTTTAATTCTTTCTCTGTCTTTTTAATGATTTTTGGGAGCCTTCGTCTTCATTTATTTCCTGCTATATTCGTCAAACGACAATGATCATGCTCATCCGTAGCCTCCCACGCAGGCGTTTTTAGGGGCGCTCGTATGGGGAGGGAAGAAATACGAGCGCCCCTAAAAACGCCTGCGTGGAAGGCTAGCTCATCCGTATCTCTCTTTTTTTTCTCAGTTTCGCAATGAACTTGTAGCAATTTTTGTTTTCCTTAACAAGCTCACAGTTTTTTTTCTTTAGGCAAATTTTAATTTCATTTTTATTGTCTGATGTAAATTGCTGGTTCCAGTTTGGCCAGTCGTCCTGACGTAATTAATGTATTAAAATAAAAAATATTTCATTTACACCAGTATAACAAGCTGAATTGCTTTAAAATCGTTAAAAACCAAGGATATATAAGATGTATCTTACTGAGAATAACTCGTATAGCTATACAAGGAGTTAATATACTTCTTAACCAAGCAATGCTTTAGCAACTGTCGAGTACCAGGCTGTTTGAACCAACGTATATAAAATCGTACACTTCAGAGTATCTCAGTGATAAAACTAAGAAGTGCCGCATCGATCCGTTTCATCTTACATGCCAAATAATCAGGAAAGGCAGCTGAAACAGTTGAAATTCAAAGACGACGAAAAAGTGTTGGTCATAGTTGTTTTTAATACCGCAAGCAAAAAGGAAAAAGGGAATTTTTTTGAAAAAGTCAGTAAGAAAAAAATTTTCTTTTTCTGGCTATTCTTACATTGTAACTGATGAAATGAGAAGTTAGAGTCAAGTTAAGATTTTCCTAGTCTCTTTATTTAAAAGTTTAGGCAGTCCGGAAATTTTTTTTTGCTCTATTTTAAAGTTCATCACGTGAGGCCTGTTAGACTTCAAAGTCAAGAATTATATTTACCACTGATTGAACTCCCCTGATAAAATAAGCGTTTTGGATACCAAGCAAGTCGGCCTCCCACAAACACACAAAACTACCTAAGAAAAAATTATTATTCGTAAACTCAGTTCCTTTAAGATTAAAATCTTTTAATGTGAGTGCTTGCGTGATCGACCATAACACTTGACGAAAATGACCAATATCTTATTCCTTAATACAGTCTGTAAAATTTCCATATTAGCGTGGAATCGTTTTGTCAGATTAAAGACCACCGAAACCTAAACCCGATGCAGAAGTTAAGTGTTCATCTTCCTCAGTCATTGTAAACGGACTGTCACTGGATTAGGAAGGGTATACTAACTGTCTTATCCATTTCGATGACCGGTAGTTTGTATTGAAAAAAGTAAGTTTTTAAAAAACGTAAAGTTAAAAAAAATGTCTCTAAAAAGCAAGAACGAGGTAAGAAGAAAATTTCAGAACTATGCAAAGTATGTTTCACTCGGTACCCATACAAGGCAAGAAAAAAGACTAAGGGCCAGTTACCTAAACGGAGTTTATAGCCAATGCTTAACAAAACCGCGTTCTTTGCGTAAGTTTGCCGAACGCTTTTATGTAAATACCATTTATCGTGGACAGTTTCATCAAAGTATATGGCGTAGACTAGAAAAGGAGTTTTCCTCTAAAAATAACCCTCTAAGAAAGAGATCTGGGGGTTCAAACATTTCTTCACCGCGGTCTAAGTTAGAGTTCGTTTAAATAACCGGCCCTAAAGTTTATAGTTTTCGGCTGTCATGAGCTGAAAGACATAGTCACTGGACCCAGTAACCAGTAACATGATTGCTTTAGTATTCGAACCTCGAAAAAAAGTTACAGTCGAAGCCCGCTATTTCGAAGTCCCAAGGGAAATGGAAAAAAGTTCGAAATAGCGGGGTTTCGAAATAACCGAGGAAGCGTAAAGGGGAAGGGTAAATCCAAGGGAATTCGATCTTCCTGCGGAGACTTCGAATTAACCGAGTTTGAAATAGCGGGGTTCGACTGTATTTCCAATTTATGTTATTGAAATTAAATTTTTTAATAATTATGTAAAGAAAAATCGAAAGTTGATAAGGTTTTCTCGTGTTATGCTTTTAGTTAGCTTCTGAAGTTCTGAATCAATTCGCCTGAAGTTTAAAATGAAATACTAGACTTCTTGTTGTTGTTTTTTGTTTGTTTCGTCATCTTTTTCTGTATCTAAGGTTATGTTAAAAGATTTAACTTTCTGAGCGTCATTTAAAATCAGTACAGTTTCCTGTTTATTTGATACAGTCAACATCTTAGTCATAAGTGGAGACCTAGTCAAAAGCTTAAAAAGTGGACACCTGTATCAAAAAATTAAAAAGTTATAATATAAATGCAATCTTTTTCCTTTTCCCTTTTTGGAGTTATTCCGTTCATTTATATATCCCTCACATTTATCGAACGTTTTGTTCTCCAAAAGCTAGTAACCTTTGGTTCTTAATGTATATTCTAATTCAATTAATTAAATCATAAAAATTATCAAATGCTAGATTCGGAGAGTGAACAATTTTTAACCGAGTAGGTTTTTGCAGATATTGTCGGGTGATTTGTTGCCAAGTAATTTATACGTTTTATCATTGCAATGAAGGTAATGAAAAATAATTTTTAATTATTGATTTATTTCTTTTAGCTGTCCTGAGAAGAGAGAAATAGGCAACAAATAACTAAATCCCGAGAAGCATGTCAAATTCACTCTTATGGCTGATCAGTTTTTTCTGCTGCCATATTGTCACTGGTGATTCGTCATGCAAAAATCAAGGCAGGGTCACGTATGACAACCTAGGTAAACTACAATGTCACTATATTTAGCTCTATTTTTTTAAATACTGTGTTTCCAGGATATCTTTTTTCTTTAAATCACCCGACCCCTCCCTAAAAAGATATAAAAAGGATGGTTCCTAGATGTCGATATCTTTGACATTGCTTTGACATTTTTAATTATATAAACGGAAGCTCCGCTTTTAGGCCTGGCTTGATCCCGTATATACTATATAAATTAAATATTTAAAAAAATAAATATAATAATCAAAATTAGAATTTTTCACTCTCAAGAATATTTTAATTTTTACTCGAGAATGTTAATAATTTGCATGTTAAGTTAAAGTTTCATTTTTCACTGGAATGCATATCAAAGAAATCAAATTAAATAATGAAAATCTAATGGAGAATGGAAAGAATTAGAAATGTATGATTAAAGAATAAAGAATTTTTACTATCTCAAAAATTATAAATCTATCTCGAGACTCACCTAAGCTTTTTTCACTTGGCACAGGGGATTGCAGTAACCATTGTGAACATCATATCGTACCAAATGACGATCTGAGATCTTATAGTTGTGACAGGAATAAAGAAACTGAGATTCCAATATTCCGTGGAGTTTATACCTTTCCGGTGGACCCAATTCCACGAAAAAATTGTTTTGACGAAGAAGCGATGCAATTTCTTCAGGATGGGGTAAGCAAAATAAAACCTAACCCCAGCCCAGACTCCCAGCCCAGCTTGTGTATCAGGCGCAGGACAAATTTGGGGCATGTCCTCGAGGAAGGATCGGAGAATAGGTGCCACAATGCGCAACACTAATATTTCTTATTCGTTGGTCACTCAAGCTAGATTCGAGTCGACTCGACTTATATGAGGAAGCTTTTTTTTAGGAAATGCCTGATGGTTTTCAAGTTAGACCTGAATTTGTCTGCTTTTGCTGAAGGCTCTTCATATAACAAAAACTTTAACTCTTGCTTGACATACACTTGCAACAATTGCTTGCACATTGATACCCAGTCATTCCACAGGGGCGGATCTAGGGGGAGGGTGCAGGAGGTGCATACGCTTCCACCCCCCTAGATGTCCTGTGGCTTTCTAATTCAACTGGTATTCTGCAAAAAAAACTATGTAGCTTATTGGTGTTGAAATAAAACATGAGACGAGGTTGAATGAAGAACTTATGTTAAACGCCATAAACATGGTATTTTGTCACGTCATATCACCAGTCAGTTACGCCATTCCTTAGTGGTGCACCCCCTCCTAAGAAAAATCCTGGATCCGCCCCTGTTCCACCTTTTATACTACTACATGAGACATTTCTGCAATTTGATTGGCTTAGAGCAGTGGTATTTCAGCTTAATTTAAAATACCTACATCTGAAAATTACAAACCTTTTGCGGGTAGTAGTATAAACAAATAATAGCGTGATTTGTACGTGATATTTGGCATAAATACCACGCTCGTGATATTTCAAAATTGTCTCAAATTTAAATGACAATGAACAATGAAATTACGTATAACAATTTCGAAATATCACTCGTGGTATTTATGTCAAATATCACTACTAATCATGCTACTACCTATACAAATAGCTTGAAGTATAATTTTTTTTTGCAGTATCCGGTGGTTCTTGAAAACTGCACGTTTCACAAACCAGCTATGAAATGGACCGTAAATTATCTCAAGGAAAACTTGAAAGACGAGGATCACACAGCATATTTTTCGAAAGACAGGTAAACTGTAGGCTCGATTACCAGCCGCTGTTCGGGAAAATATGCCCAGTTAAGAAAAGATTGATTGTAAAGCTAATAAGCAGAAACTTTAAACAACTTGATACCCTTCCTTATGAAGAGTTCATATGTCACGAGACTACAGTAGGATACGACAGAGATTATACGTTTTTACAGAAATAAGCTGAAGCTTATATAGTGAATGAAGAGAACCCTACATTTAACCCAGGCGGCTGCATGATCAGCCAGCTTTGTACAAGGAGGAGGAGATTATTGAATAATCTGAGATAATCTATTCATTTTCTTCAACATCAGAATATTCCTTTACTATGACGACGACCGAATCAAGGGAGCGTTCAAGGAGTGGCACCCACCTACGAAAAGGATGTTGATGTACTTTACGAATTTTTCAGAATTAATGGATGAGCTTGAAACAGCTAACAATGGGAGCCGCGCTTATTTCCAGGTATGGCAAAGGCATCTATCTTAGACCTTAGTTGATAAAGAGTGTTCTCTTGATCGTATATATGTTGGCGACAATAAGATTAAGGACATCAAGGATTGCAAATGGTTCAAATGTACTTTTGTGGGCTCAATTTACATCTTCAGCTCAAACTTTCTTTTCCTTTTCAAACTCATTAACTTAGTTTACCATATATGCATACCCAGAAAGAAAGGAATATAAAATTTGATTTAACCACAACATAAATTTATTATAACCCTTTGTGTGCCTGAAAAGCGACCTCGTCAATTTTGTAGATTTAATCTGAATATGACCTTTCCAGCACTGTTTAAAATTGCGGTCATATTAATACTGGACCACTGGTACTCCCCTTTTTCTATGTGGTAGTCCAGTTCAAGAGTCCAACATTGGGAGCTCACTGTTGTGAGACAAGGCATTAATGGTACGCTTCTATTGGTCACTTAGTATAAAATGATAGGAACGCTATTGAACACGTGCACGGTAAGTACTAAAAAGCTAACAAAAACATATATCGCTCCTTATAAGGGAATCGGAATTATAGAATCCTGGACTTTGGAATCCGGAATACAGCTCAAAGATTCCGGAACCCCACTAACGATTGGAATCCAAAATTCAATTTCCTTGAGAAAGACTGAATCCAGTACATGGAATCCAGAATCTTGGATTCCCTTATAGGAGACGACATGAAACAAAGAAGTCTTATCAGTAGGCTGCATATCGATCACCATATCTTCTGTGACGGACGTACTTTAACTCTGTGTTTTTGCATTAATATAGTCATTGGTGTACCTTCAGGATGGTGTGAGTGACTCTTTGTGGAAAGATGTAAATTCTTTCAACTACAGTTTTTTGCTTGACCTTGTAACGCGCTTGAACTGGGGCGAGGACGTCTCTAACTTGCTATTGGTTGGAATGCCGGATGTGGTTACACCTGCGCACTTTGACATCTTGGAAAATCTTTATGTCCAGGTGGGTAATAGTCCAGTTTCGAGGAACCTCGTGGTCCCTCCCATTTTCCAAGGGCAAATCCCTGGAAACGAGCTGAATTTTTAATTCGCCGTGACCGCTGAGTGAAAGAACTGAAGGGGCACTTTGACAGGGTTAGCCCGCATCTGAAATGGATATATTGACAAATCCCAGCGAGGAGATAAAAAATGTTTACAACTCTAAATACAAAAGGGGCTATTAACGTATTTAAAATTTTACGGCCAGAACGTTTAGAACCAAGTCCCTTGTACTACACACGACACGAGATGTACGTCATCCGATTTAAGGTTTGAATATTCCTTGATGTTCAATGTCTGCAGGGTGAAGACTCTTTTTTCAAATGTCAAACGGGCTGGTGATGCAACCAAAATCATGCAACTTTGACAGAAAATACCAGCGAAAATAGTGTACCTCGCGTTTCAATTGATTGGAATGGAGTTTAGTCATAGCACATCAAAAGGCAAAGAAACGAAGAAAAAAAAGAGAGAAACTAAAGAAAAGAAAAGAAAGAAAGAGGAACGACAAATGGAAAGAAAGTAAAGCGAAAAATAAAAAAAAAATTGCCTTCTGCAAATGCATCAGGAATGACAGCGAGCCTAGTTCTCGACTTGTAAACAGAGCTTTGTCTTATGGTTTTGTTGAAAAGCCAGAAAACGGCTTTTTAACGAAATCTTCTGCGCTTGAAATGATGACAAAACTGAAAAGGAACCTATGGACGTAGCCCTAAACGACAGAAGTTAAATCGTATCCTGCCCAGGCAATACCGTTTCGAATGGTCACGGCTATTACTTATTTAACTGTAAAACTGAGTGTTAAGTAATAATAAAAATATCTTTACCTGCAGATCTTTGGAAGGAAAAGAGTTATTCTGTTCAGTCCAGATTATTTTCGTTCTCTTTACCCTTATCCTGTGGGACATCCTCACGATCGACAAACTCAGGTCAGAATATTTTAAATATTCATCAGCTTTTATGCTCTAATCTTACGGTGGTGTTGATTGGAAATAAAGGAACCGGTTCTTAAGGACAAAATTGTGTAAAAGTTACACATGGTCTGAAATTAGGAATCATATCAAACACGATGTAAATTTTTTTGTCAAACGTGTTTCGTCCTTGGTAAACTGGTCTAAATTCAGCGTAAGCCCATAGCGTTCACGGTTCGGTCAATCCTGGACTCTACCGTGAGATGTAACGTCATCAAGAGAGATTCGACCACCCTTTCCCAGACTTCGTGCGGAAAATGGAGCATGAGGAGCGCCTAGGGACCAGGTTGGTCTGATGCCAGGTCTAATGGTCTAATTCCAGTGCAAAGTTCTCCCCACCGACCCCCCAAAGCTGTCTCGCAGAAGATTTTTCGTTTTACGACCATCGCATTCCCGTAATGAGTCGGCTTGATTTGGTCAGTATGTTAGCTAGAAGGAAAGGCTTATTGTTTAAAGCTTGTTGGGCAAATTTAGATCTGTCTATATGGATTCAACAAATGCCGTCGTACATGTGTTTAATTCAATCCGTTAATCGCTAAGTATGAGGGTTTGGATGTTGAAATGCTCTCAAAAATATTTGTTCTGTTCGACTACGAAATTCACCTCTTTCTCTATGCAGGTGAACTTTGAAAACCCGGACCTGAGCAAGTTTCCTCGATTTAGTGAGATCAGGGGCATGGAGGTATCCCTTGAACCAGATGAAGTACTTTACATTCCAAACTACTGGTGGCATTACATCGAAAGCGAAAGTCACAGGTAACTCTTCCGCGGCGTTAGCTCATGATCAGTTATCGCAAATGCAGCTCTCTGTTATAGTGTGGGGTTAGAGGGTGTAGAGTTCATGCATTCTTGGTGCTCCTGCCTTCCAGGGTTAGTCATCATGAAAACTGGTACATGCTCTAATCACACCAAGAGACATTGTGGTCTTTGAAATTTCAAGAATAAACATCGGAAGTATGTGGCAAAACATCGCTCATGATTTTATTGTGGGTGTTCGCCCATTCGATTCCCCTAAAACCTGGCCGTTTCACTTGTCCAAAATTTTCTTGTGGCTCTTCAAACAAATATTAAAACTTTGGATTCGTGGAAGAGATTTGATAATTTTTCGTCGCAGTTTCTTAGAAACTAGATAGACACCCTGGAAAGTTTCTTTGTGTACTTTATTTTTTCCACCAAAAGAGGTTGCACTGCTATCTTTACTGTTCGATCGAGGTTAAGCCCTCCCAATCACAAAATGATAAAACTTCTAACATTTGATAACTTGGTTGTTTCCTCCACTACGACATTCTCGCAAAAACCCGTAGTAGTAGAATGACGACGGCCATCACGTTTTTCCTCCAAAATGTCGCTGGTTCACGCGCACTCACTATTTTGTATTGAGGAAATCTCGTTCTCGCAGTCGTGCTGGTCATAGAATCTTAAGGTTTTGTTTTGTTTATATTGTGAACTGCAAAGAGATCATAATAGGACCTATTATGAATTGATGAGACTGTCCCTCATGGCCTACTTGATGTTAACAATAGGGCCATTTATACGAGGAAAAATAAGACGCGTCTTACTTAGGACGCGTCTTAAATAAGACGCGAACTTTCCGTATAAACGGCACATTTCGTCTAAAATAAGACGCCGCTTAGCTAAGACGCGTCTTATTTTAGAACAACCCTTAACACCTGCTCTTAGGTAAGACGCGTCTTAGCTAAGACGAGAAAAACTTCGTATATATGACCTTCGCGTCTTACATAAGACGAGAACCCATAGTACGCATGCGTTAATTTTTGGCGCGCCAGGTTGGATTGACGTTGCTACGGGCAACATTCACATGAAAACGAGTCAAGAACAGAAATAAGACGCAAACCATTTATACGAGCTGTTCTCGTCTTAGATAAGACATGCTCGTATAAATGGTACAGTTCTTGTCTTATTTAAGACGCGTCTTAGGGACCAGTCATAATTTAAGTTGGAGGGGGAGGAGAAATTGGGGGCCTTCAATTGTTTTTGGATGGAATATGGGGGGCCTTAAAATGCCAAAAGATGACCTGGGGGGGTCTTCAAGTTTCTTTTAAGTAGCATCCCTACTGAGCAGCATGATGTTTGAGTATTAAAGGACCTGATTTTGATTCAGTTTTACACAAAGTCCTATATTGTGTAATACTAAAACAATTTAATCAGCATTTTTACAAAAAGATTTAATGCTCAAATAGTAGGTGCATCAACACAACATCCATTGTTGTGTAACACTGAAACAATGTCATCGGCATTTTAACATTTGATTACATGCATAAAGTCATGTCATGCAATCTCACTATCCGAATCATTATTTGTAGATGAGGTTGATGCGGACTCACTGACTGTGTCACCGTCAAGTTTTTCGCTATTAGAGCATGTACTGCTCATATAAAAAGCAGTAAGCTTTGGCTGATTATCTTCTTTCTTCCTTGAAGCGGTCCTGTCGGCCTCTCACCTTTCGATGGCTTGTGTTATCTCAATTATAACACAATCACTGATATATCCTTGCTCTATAAGCTGTTTGAGAGGCTCTAGGTGAAATCTCTTTCTCAGTTTAGTATGAAGTGCTTCTCTGTTGTTAGTTGGCACATTCGGAAGTGACAGTGAGTAAGAACGGTAAAGTAAAGAAAATGTTATTTGTTATTACCATTTGGGTATTATGTATAAGAAAGGGGGGCCCTTAAATCTTTTAACATGATTGAAGGGGGGGTACCTAAAAACATGGGTGCTATTAGTGGGGTCTGGAAAAATTTGGAATAAAAACAATTTCTCCTCCAACCCCCCCCCCCCCTCCCCCCCTCCAACTTAAATTATGACCGGTCCCTAATATTTTTCCTCGTGTAAATGGCCCTATTCTTGTTCTTCTTTCTAGTAAAACCATATCAATGAATTTCTGGTTTGATGCAAAGAACGATACCAAAACAAAAAGCGATAACGCCACTGAGAAGGTGGATACCTCAAGTGTTCAACTGGAAACTGGCGAAGACCAACAAGAAGGTGGTAGTCTTAAAACTGATGGAGATGATGGAAAGGAAACGCAGTCAAACGGCGATGGTGCGCATGCGCTAAGTGAATCCGAACAGAATAAAGATACACATCCCGAAGGCCAAGTTAAGATCGACGATCGAACGAAAGTTAGTTCTGAAGAAACAACCACAGAACCTGAAGCAGAAAAAGAGGAAGCAGTCGAAGAAGATGAAAAAGAGATCGAGTTATCTGCAAGTCAATATCTAGCACTTCTGAGGGAAACGGAGACATCACTCTTCAAAGCTACTTTCAGCCACAAGAAGGTACTCTCGTTCAGAGCACTTTTTGACAGTTTTTAAAATTTTTGAAAGGGCAAAAGAATATAGTTCAATTATACCATTTTTTAGATGTTTGAAAATCCTAGGAGAGGGCAGGCAAGCAAGAAATGTTACAACCGAAAATTCTAGATCTCAAATCGTCTTCCGAACAGATATTTTCCGAAAATTGTCGTTGGGTGCCCCTGTGAATTGGAGGAAAAGGAAAATGTCTGATGTTGCCAAAAAAAGATTTTGCATTTGTTTATTCTGACCCGGCTTCGCGATAAAATAAATATCATGATCAGCGAGGAAAATCAAAGGGATTTTTGCCTTGACTAACGGTGGATTTCCCCTGTCGCGTATTTTTTCGAGCGCGCGCAAGTACGCAAATTTTACTCTCGTAAATAAAATAGGGGTCCTTCTATGCATTGCCTCTATATTATTTAGGCGCGTGAACTTAACGTGGGTACGCACGAAAAAATTACCCAACAATGGAAATCTGCCTTAACTGAAGCCATCGAGGAAAAAAAAAGCGTTTTAAAGATCAGATGGCGGAAGTATGGGAGACATGTCGAATTTTCTGCGATTGGGCGAGCGGCCTTGTCGGTGTTGTGTCGAATTGCACTGTGCAACTGTTATGGGGCGCGAATTTTGATTCAGTTTTCCAGTTCTGCGCAACCTGGTAAATCCTCTGGTCGTAAAAGCCAATTAAAGAAGCGCTGGCGTCTTCAATACTGTCGTACGCCACTTGCGTAGGTATTACAGCTTTCCCAAGAGAAATTGAAAATAATGCATTTGCAATTTTTTTGGGGGGGGGAGGGGGAGGGGGAAGGGGGCAAATAAGGTGCATTATGGGAGACGTGCGAGTAGCGTATAGTGCAATTCGGCTAATATGACACATTTCTTCCAGTTTTACGTTGAGAAGGAAAAGCACAATTGCCACTTATTACTTGCGGTCAAACAATTTGCGCGCAAAGAAGAACGTCAAACTGAACCAGATTACGCTTTTTAAAACTTTTAGTAGCCATAAATAATTTTAATAATGGTAGGACGAATGGCTATTTAACTTATACTGACTTATACTTCCTTATTGCTTACTTACTGAGACTTACACAGTTTTGCTGTCTTTTTTTTCAGGTTAAGCAAATTTTGGAAGATCTGCTTTCAAGACGATTCGATTATATCAAGGAGCTCTACTAAAATAGACATCTAAAATTCAAGAAGTAAATCAAAGAAATCGTTAGTTTGAAAAAAATAAAAAAATAAACTAAAGAACGTTAACATAAATAGAGGATATTACACGGTTGCACGAAGATATGAATTTTATTTTCGAGCGGCGCGAGTGAATAAAATATTGTTTTTGCCTCGAGAAAATAAAATTCCTATCTTCAAGCCGCCGTATAATGTTCTTCTTATTATATAGACAAACGGACATCGATAAAATAATAGAGGGAAATTATCGAAATTGCGTCATCGATAAACTCACGTGTGAGATTATGGAAAATAAACCACTCAGGTCCCGGATGTAGTTTTTATGAATGGTACGAGTGGTATATTTTCCAGTAAAACACTCGTGTCTATATAATAAATAAGAATAAACTATATAAAACAACCTTGAGCTGGAACCAATGCGAAAAGTTCATCATTTTTCGGTATCCCTTGACACATTCAAGTTACTTAAGTGCTAGTGATGCTGTGAAGAGTATCGCTTAGCGTTCAGTGAAACAATGAGTTGTTTTTTTATTGCTTGAACATGTAATTATCAACCAGCGGATTTATCATCGGGTAGCCTAGGAGCAAGCTCTCCGGGGCGCTCTGTCTGGCAGCGGGGCACCCCGCCACCAGAGCGCCCCGGAGAGCTTGCTCGCAGGCTATCAGCGGGGAGTAAAAATAGCAATACCTCAGTCCAATGAAATAAAACATACCGAGGAATGGATGGCAGAACATGGGGAAAAAGTGATAATTCTTGACAGACTTGTAGCTTCCAAAGAAGCTTTTTCGGCTTTGCTTTGGCGGAGGTGAGGTGGGATTTCCCTCCCAAGTTTCTTTCCCCACGTCACCAGAGAGAGATCGTCCGAGAAGCTTCTTGCAGGCTTCGACAGTTGTTGTTTTACTATTATTACGTGACCCTGGCTTGCCGAATACATTCATGAAATTAGAAATAAGAATAAAAGAGAAGAGTAAAGATGCATATGTAACAATCAGTTTTTATCGCTTGCGTGTGGTCGAAGGACAGGAGTCATTAACGATTACTGAGTTTGTACGGCATTTGCACTAGTATAACACAGGCTTTGCACAGATTCCTTTATTGATAATTACTGGCTGGGGTGATTTTGATGTTTATTTTTCATGGTAGACTAAGTAAAAAACATTATTCTAGAACTTCGCCGTGACCGTCCCAACTTCCGCGTCAAAAGTGAAAATTAATTTTAGGACTTCGAAGGCGGAAGTCTTTTCATTTGTATACTCGTCTGTGGGTTAGCTCGATTGCTTTATGGTCTGATGCCTCGACTCAAAAATTAATAGCACTTCCAAAGGAACGCTAAGAAAGGCTGCAGCTTTTTACCGGTAATAACTAAAGATGAAATTTGGACATACAGTTTTGGTAAAATTTAAAATAACCATTTCACGCCAACTACATCAGTGCGGGCACTTTCTTTTAAACATTTTTCATGGACCATAAACTCGATAAAAAAAGAAAAGATGTGCTGGCCACGGTCAGTGATCAATTACTACATGTGACTGCACTTGCAACGCGTTAAAACGAGAATCAATTATTAGCGCTGAAGGAAGTTTCAACTAAAACTTAAGTTTAGCGCGCTTGAGAAAGGTCCAACACTTAGCAGTTATCGGCCAAGAGCTTATCGGACTAAATCTACAGTTGTTACGGTGAGACAAGAGATGGAAGCCGTGAAATTATTTTTGATGTTCTATATCCTGATGTTTTCCACGGTGCACGGAGGTAAGGTAACATTCATTATTCTCGACAGTCATTGTTTTGATTATATCAATGGAAATTAATCATAACTTACCTTACTGACTGATCCAGTGATTTATTTTCAGATATTTTAGGCTTTTAATGTCTTTGAAAATGCTAAAAACACACACTGCTGAGAAGGAGATGAGAACTATTTTGCAACGAGGCAATGAAAAAATAAAATGCCTTGGAGGCCACATGTATCAATTAAACTGCATGCATAGACACCAGTACTAATCAAGTTAGCGAAAGAGATCGAAAGACAACAACGAAGAAAAATATCAAATAATGCGATGACAATAGTTCCATTTTGTTTTTGGCTGGTGTAACATGCATTACGTTTTTGTTGTGAAAGATAGAAGATGTTTATTTGCATTACGTCCGTCAAAATGGCGTGCTTGTTCCGATGCAAAATTCTCAGAAAACCGTGACTGCGTCCGTCTCGTAACCACTTTAATTATCGCCGGAGGCTATTCTGCATACTAGCTTCAAATTCTGTCCATACAGAAACTGGTTAAAAAACGAATACAAATGTTGTTTCTGAAAGCCTTTTCCAACTAGTACTCGACAAGCATAGATGCACTTTTCAAAAGTGCCTTTTTTTTCTTTACGAGTCAGTTAGCCTTAAAAAAAGCATAATTTTGTTTGGGTGGCTGTGGAAACGGAATTAACGTTTCTGTTCTGATTAGTAGTCCCTTAACAAATGCTTTTTCTTTAGAAGATCTCCTGTCTTTGCATTTGTTCAGTTAATTCCTAAACGTACCTTCTTCTAGCAAATGAAAAACAACCCGAGAAAGACCGAGACTTCAGTAGTCATTGTAGTTATTATTTTTCCGCAAGCAAAGACTTTAGGCCCTACTTCAGCTTTCGGGGAGTCTTTTTTGGAAGGGAGAGAGGGAGAGAGAGATTTATTAATACGCCTTGATACCTCCCTGAGAAATTAGGAATTAAGTCGATAAAGTGGCTTACCTTTCCTTATTTAGGATACATCCCTTATCAGAAGACGCACATTAAAGAACTGGAGGACCGGATCGAGCACCTGAGGGAATTAAAAGTTCCTGTAAAAGACAGCTCTGCGGAGTTAGAACCACCCGGCGCCGGGTATCCTGGTGGCGCTAGTACATCCGAACGTAGGAACAGAGATCGACCAGGACGATGAACTGATTTCAAGAATCAAGGATCGACTAAACTGTCCAAGTTCTTGAATGGGTCTCGATTCATTCTTTGGCAAATTTCTGCTTGGGATCATCCTTTCATTTTAGCTTTTATGGATAGTAATTAAAACTCCAGTTTCTTCAGTTTAAAGCTATGATCTTTGTAAAGAATAACGGGAAAATCAATAAACGCTTTTTAGATTTAGAGGAATAAGCGATAATTCGGGCAGTGTTAGAAGCCCGGATAAAGTATTAAGGGTCACAAGTTCCAATTGAAGAACGAAAAAGCATTTAAACAGGCAACAAGTTTGGAGACGCAGGTTTAGAGCAAAAGCCGTTAATCAACAACAATTTATAAGCAAGCACGTGCACTTGACTTAGACGAAGCATAGTGAATCAGCAATGTGAATCAGTGGGCTAATGATAAAGACATTAAATATAATAAAGTGACGCCTTTACAAACCTCCATTGGTGATGAATGATTGGTTCTTTAACAGCACTAAAACGAGTCTTCATAGTCTCTATATTGTCCCTTCAAATTTCATTTCTGGACCATCTTCGTAGTTTTTCCATTATAACTTTGATCATTATCCTTTTCCGTAAAAAATAATAAAAAAGAAATAAAAAAGAGAGAGGGAGAGAATAAGAATAAGCAAAAAAGTGCATGATGTTGTTGTTTCTATCTCAGGTAATTTTTTTTTTTTTTTAAACCGGCTTCGATTCCTTAGCCCAAAAACAAAAGAAAAACAAAATTACCTGAGATAAGAAATTAATACAACATATATATCCAAATTTAATTTCAGTGTCAGTGTTCCGCTTTATTTCAGCTGCGTTCAACACTTGGCAGCGATGTTTCAATTGAAAATGAACAGCGACGTCAACTGAGAATTTTTTCTAGCCTGAGAACACCGGCGAGCGAGGAGGGACGGTTATATTCGCAGGCCAGACTTTTTTCATTTTTTGTGGCTGTCGTAAAGCTAGCGATTATAATTAGCCCTGGCTAAGAGCTATATGTGTGCAAACTAAAACCAGATGACGAACAGTTTTCCCAAACAAACTGCAGCTTTCAGCTGAGCTTTTCCAAACTAGAATGTAGTACCATCTAACTCCTCCCGAAACTCCCTCTCCTTCACTGGTTTCAAAGAAAAAATCCAAGTCTACAACTGAGTTCTAAGAGTGAAGGCTTCATGACCTTCGTGGTTTTTAGCTTGCAGAACAGGCGCTGATACAAAAAACGCAAGTAATACGTGATTTTAGACACAAAACAAAATGTTAGAGTTTTAAATTTCGCAGTATTGACCCAATTGAACGGCACTGAAGTTTCTCTGCTGGCAAAGGCCTCTACTAGCCGAGAAGAAGCGTGATATTGGGGCTATTTTTTTTTCTCGTGAAACGTGATTAGAGTTTCTATTCTTTCGTGATTGCCCATCACAAGACAATTTTAAGGTGTACGTAAAGGCGGTTTTAAATTAAATTTATTGGTGAACTGAACTGATTTTTTGAAATTTGGCCCAATTGTAAGCCGAATTTTCAGGTGAAGAGGTTGGCTCAATGATTTAGTCGTAGCATGTTAATTGCCATATCTTTGGGCAGACAAATGATAGCGTATAAACCTTGCCTTTATACTGGTATGGGTCATTTGCCATACCCTAACACATTTGATTGAGATTTCAAGGAAAACGAGTCGCATTTAGAGCGTAAACAGGTCAGTCGAAAAGAAAAATTAATACGCGAATTTATTTTTTTAATTTTCGGTGAAACGTGAACTACTTGATTTTTACGTGAAAGCAAAGAAATTTTGAGAATTATTCGACACGCGTGAAAAGTCTCGTGATTGACTTTTTGTGTTTTCTCTGAGCACACGGTGACCTATATCAGCGGACTACAATGGTCTCTATGGTAACTAAGTTTCAGACTTGAGAAACTGCGGGGGAGAGAAGGTCAGGCAAGGATGGTTGATGTTTAAGCGCAAAAAAACTGTTCCTCTGATGAGGTAAAATGGTTCTTCCATTCGAGCGACAGCCTCTCTTGCACAAGAGATACGCCACACTATCTTCTCCCGACCTTTCGAGGTCGTTTTCGGAGGAAAATGAGGACTCGGCGCGTGGAGATGAGTATGCGGCTTTTCTCAAGTGAGCGACCTTCTTTTGTTTACGAGTCTAATTTTGCAAAGTTGATTTATAATTTAAAACTAATACTTGCTGCGTGATCTTACGTTGCCATTTTCCATGTCTTATGTAGGTTACATTGTAAAATAGCAGATTAGTTTAATTGAGATTTAGCGCCCGTAATGTTCGCACTTAAGAATGAAATGTCGGAGTAGTTTCACCTTTCATAATTCGACGTTAGAATGGATATTGAGCCCACTTTACGATAAAATACAAACAATGTGTTATTCTAAAAATACAAACAATGATGTTATCGCGATAATATAGTTTTCTGGTCATTAAATTAATGAAGAGTCTTAAATTGTGCGGGTTCCCAAGAAACATTTAATTTAGGGAAACTCAGAACAAAGCTGACAGCATATAAAATTTATAGATTGAATATCCTGTGGTTTACTAATGATACAGAAAACATGAAAAATTCATATTTAAAATACTATAAATTTTATTGGCAAGAAATTTGTGAAAGAGCGTGAAAAGAAAATATTTAATACATTTTAGTTATAAGATTTTGTAAATTTAAAGCAGCTATGATTTTCAAAGCCACATGCAAACAGTCCAAATGGGATGAGATATTTTTTGGAGAAAAAGAAAGAAAGAAGCACACATAAGAAAATTGTTGGAATGAAATAAGTTTTTCATGAAGTCAACCCACTTTGTGGGGAACTTTGTTTCGGTCTTATGAGGGGAATGAGAAACTGCTGCTCACAGGTTATAGTGATCAACCTCAATAAAGGGACACCTTTATAATAATAAAGTGCATGGAGTCAAGAAAGGTTCATGGGTGTCCCATTGAATACAGGTTAAATGAAAAGAAAAAAAGAAAAGTTTTTTTTTCTTTAATTTTGTGTTTATATTTGGAACCTATTTCCTGTCAACAGATCCTCCTTTTGTCTATATACTTGTGTCCCAGGGTGGGTACTCCGGATTTCAAGTGACAGGGATGATCAAATGGGGGCAAAAATCAAAATCCAAAAAAATTCCTAGGGTCTCAAACAAAACCCCAAAAAATCCCTGGACCAAAATTTAACCCCCCAAAAATCCCATGCCGGATTTCCGAGCCATAAAAATTTTCAGAGAAACTTTGCCGCTGGGATATGCAGGAACTATCAACTTTCAGGAATCTTCACATTGTTTTGAATACCCATAAAAATCCCTACTTAAATCAAGCTTCCCAAAAAAATACTTGCCAAAAGTTTCCTACCTAAAAAAATCCCATCGAAAATTTAAAACCCAAAAAAATCATTATCATCCCTGTCACTTGAAATCTGGAGTACCCACCCCTGGGAATTGAGTGAGGAGGAGAAAAAGAGGGGCTGCCTAAATCACGTTAGGCCTTAGGAGTCACGGAAGCCATAACTTCTGGACTGGTTAATCTTGTTCTCTATCTCCAAACTGGTTCTCGAAGAGTGAGCATCTGTTTGTTTATAAATCGATGGGCATAACTGAACTCCCTGAACCAAATGAACAGCTATTAGGCCTGGGTTAAATTGCATCCCAGCAACAAGCAGCACATGCTCGGAGTGACTAAAATCCTATACAGTGACACACACAATATTATTATTTAGGGTTTGGTGAGCACAAAGTAAGTAATCTATTGTGAGTTTTATTTTTATTAAATTTATTATTAGGTCATTGGCAAGTGGAGAAAGACAAGATTTGGGAGTAACAAGGTGAGGGTAAAACTTAATGTTATTAATTTTTACATAGCTGGAAATTTTTCCCAACAGTGTACACTCTCATTGGTTACATTGAGGTCACATGACATGTAACAATGAAACTATTTCCCGCCAAAATCCCTGAGTGGCCAACATTGCAAAATCTATGACGTCAGAGGGTAACACTTGCACTCTTACCTGCAAATATTGGCTAACGAGCGCCACTACCACAAAGTTTAATGAATTTCCAGCTTCAAAATTTCCAGTTATGTAACAAATCACTTAAAGGCTGGTCCCTCGGGAAATAATTATCAATTGAGACTCTCTGGAAACAAAATTAACTATTTCCCTCAGGACCAGCCATTAAGTGTTGTAATATTACATTGTTATGATTGTTTTGCAGTATTTACATGTTACGGTAATTCAAGGCCCTAGGAAGGCAGATAAATTCTTTTGTATATAACTGTGGGATCTATGCTAGAGACTGATCGATCATCATTATCACAGGGCTTCTGATATTTCGCGGAAAAAATGCAAAACTTCGCAGAATTTTCAGGGGCAAATTCAAGGAAAAATCGGCCAATATTTTCACGGGAAGAAAGTCAAAATTCGCGGAAAAATCGGCCGATTTGTGGTATTTTTCCAGGAAAAAAGTCAAAAATTATTCGTAGAAAAATCGGCCAATAATTGGCAGTAATTATTAATAATTATTTCGTGGGATTGTTGCGGAAAAATGTCAAATTTCGAAGGATTTTCAGAGGCAAATTCTTAGAAAAATCGGCCGATTTCACGGGAAATTTCGGGGGAAAACAAAAACAAGAACAGCCGATTGCGCTGGATTTTTTTGGGGAAATTTCACTAAAATCGATCAATTTTGTGTCGATATGACCAGCGTTGGTTAACGTTTTTTTTAACCGGGATAATCATTTGCTCTTTCAACAACAGTTCGCTTGAGAAATGAGCGAATGCTAAAGCTATTAACAGTATGGTTAGTGCCCAGTTTTTTGCAACGTTCATCTAAAAACGCCTGGTAGTTTTGGGATGTTGTTTACTCGTTGCAGTGATGAAGTTTCAAGATAAATTTGGACGTTTGGGGTGAATAAAACAGGTCTAATAGCCAAGATAAGTATTGAATATGTTTTGCCGACATGTATTTGGAAATATTTCCTACAGAGATAAAAGCGTACAACTGGATTTCATAGAAAAATACCTGAAAATTACACCTGCAAAGTACAAAAATATCATGGAGATTAGCATCGAAGTTTTCGTGTTTAAAGTAATTCGGGTCCGCAAACTTCGACTGCATAGATATCAGAAGCCCTGTTATGACTCTGGATCCCCAGAGTTTACAAATATGCCAAAAAGAATTCCCCAGTACAGTATACAATATAATGTAATAAAATTATTCATATAATAATCCAAAGGCACACTAGCTGCACCTCAGTCTGAAATTTGGGCACAATTGGCTCTGTCAATTTTGTGCTCATTAACATTGCATACTGGGTAATTGATCATACATGTACATCTTATTTGATGATTTGCCAGGTGACACAGTCATGCGTGCATTATTAAAGGACGTGGTAGTTTACAACTCAGTAGACCCAATGCAAAAATGGCTCAGCCTGACTAGCCTTGTTCTTCCAAAAAAAATATATTAAAAAAAAAATTATCTCAATTGAGGCTACAATGTAGTCAGGCTAATTTTAAGGTAAATAAAAGTACATTAGTCCAGCAGCTATTTTTGCATTGGGTCCAATCTCCATGCACATTTTTTCTGATCTCCAATCTTTCTAAACTTTTACTTGCTAAATATTAAATATTTAATATTATGTATTTGAAGACCAAAGCCAGTTGCAAAGGTGCATCCACAAAGCCACACATCTCCAGCGACTAGAGATCCTAAACAAGCTAAGCTGAAGTTAACTGGACCAGTGTTATCACCAGGAAGAAGTAATAATGGTGTTCTACAGGTTACATTAACAGCAAAACGTAGCATGCAGAAGCACAAGGAAATGATGAGGGTGATAGAGGTGAGTACACCCAAAGAAAATGGGAGGGAGGTGGAGGGTGGGGGAAGTGGTGTATTACAGGTTACACTAACAGCATAACACAGCTTGCAGAAGCACAAGGAAATGATGAGGGTGATAGAGGTGAGCAAAGCCCAGGGAAATGGGAGGGAGGTGGAGGGAGAGGGAAGTAGTGTACTATTACAGGTTACACTAACAGCATAACACAGCTTCCACTGAAGCACAAGGAAATCAGATAAGAGGGTAATAGAGGTGAGCATACCACAGGGAATGGGAGGGAGGGGAAGTGGTGCATTTACAGCTTACATTAACAGCATAACATGGCTTGCAGAAGCACAAGGAAATGATGAGGGTGATAGAGGTGAGCAAAGCCCAGGAAAATGGGACGGAGGTGGAGGGAGGGGGGGAATTGTCATATTTCAGGTTACACTAACAGCATAAGAAAGTGATAGAAGTGAGCACACCCTAGGGAATTTGGGGTGGGGTGGGGAGGGAGGGGGAAGTGTCATATTACAGGTTTCACTAACAGCATAACACAGCTTGCAGAAGTACAAGGAAGGAAATGATGGGAGTGATAGAAGTAAGCACACCTCAGGGAAATGGGAGGGTGGTGGAGGGAGGGGAAGTGTCATATTACAGGTTACATTAACAGCATAACACAGCTTGCAGAAGCACAAGGAAATGATGAGAGTGATAGAGGTGAATGCACCCCAGGGAATGGGGGTGGGGGAGGGATTAGTGGTGTTTTGCAGGTTATAATATGCTAAAACAGCAAAACGTAGCATGCAGAAGCTGAGGAAATGATGAGAATGATAGAGGCTAGCACACCCCAGAGAAAGGGGAGAGGGGAGGAAGTGGGAGGAAGGAGGGAAGGGGTGTACCACAGGTTACATGACCAATGTATGTTAGTAGCAAAACATAGCATGCAGAAACACAAGGGAATGATGAGAGTGATACACTACATAGAGTTGGGCTTTGCACACCCCAGGGAACTTGGGGGCGGGGGGTGGGGGGGGGCTGGTTGAGAGAAACTGGTGTACCATACAGCAGAAGCAAATAAATTCTAACTACACTGTACATGTATTTTAAATAAAACACCTAAACTGTGTTTGAAATCTTATTTTACGTAGGACCACATGCTCCAGCACAAGCAGGAAGAAAGAGAATTGAAGAGATATGAAGGTGACATCATCAAAAAACAACATCAACTAAGAAGAACCATGGATGGTTTACAAAATAGTAAGTTCTGAAAGTTGACAGTTACACATCATTGCAGTTCTCAAACAGTAAAGGCCGGTCAAGTATGTTATGCTTGACCTGGCTTGACTGCTATTTTTGGTCTTGTACACTGTTGAACAGCTGATTTCTAGCAAGTTTCTGATACAATCCTCTATTACTGGTGTTCTTATAATTAAATTTTGCCCCTGCTCATCATGCATAGAGCCTAGTTCTGGCAGCTTTATAGTGGTTAGAGCACCCAAACTAGAACTCAGAAGGTCATGTGTTCGATTCTTAAATTGATTCTTTCAAATTATTTTTTAATAGTGTTCTTACAGTATGTAGCAACATTACATTTCATTGATGATGAAGAATTTAGACAGTAAAATATGATAAAAATTGTGAAGGTTAACAAGATGTTGTTTTTCTTTCATCAGGTGTATATAAGAAAATGAGAGGCGAAGAAGCTCGGCTCAGCGAGAACGGCCAGGATATGGAAAAAGTCAAGCAACAACATTATATCCAAGAGGACAAGGTTTGATTTTACATTTTTTTCTTTTAGAAACAAAATTTTTAATTTGTTAGATTGATTTATCAGGATCGAATTCTCTTAATGCAGTTTTCAGGGGCACCCAACGAGGATATAGTTCCAAACCACTTAACATAGCATTGTTGAACGTAGTTTACTATTCAAACGGTAGATATAGGCATATTTTTATCCCCTAAAAACTTTTCATCTGTTCGGATTTCCTAGCTGAAAGTCTAGTGATCCGAAAATTATAGGAATAAAAACTTACCTTCTCGAAAACTTCAGCCAGGAATAGGCTCCCGAAAATTCTAGGTGGCCTTTTTTCAGGGTCAAAATCCGTTAAAAATGGGTAATTATACCATTTTGTCGATGTTCGAAAATCCGAGGTCAGGCAGGCAAGCAAGAAATTTTACAACAAATACTCCGAAAATCCTAGATCTCAAATCGTCGCCCGAACAGATATTTTCCCGAAAATTGCCGTTGGGTGCCCCTGAGTTTTGAACATTTTAAGAGCATCTCCCTCAAAGCCTAAAGAGAGCGAGAGCAAAAAGAGGAATATTAAGATGCATGTCTGGCAATACATGTGGAGCGTTCCATGTTTTTTTTTTCTACTTTTAGAAAATGCGGTAAGCAAACACTGTTGAAAAGGGCACCTTAAAATAAGAAACTAACCCAGCAGGCAATATTAGTTTGAAGGTGATTCATCCAAAGTGAGCGAAGTTTATAGCTTTGCAAAGTCACAAAATTTTACAGATTTTTGTATGGTGGGGGGCGGGAACTTCCCCCCCGCCATCCCCCACAATACAAAGTCTGTAAAATTTCGTGACTCTTCGGAGCTATACCCTCTTTAGTTTTCGAGAAATCACTTTCAAACTTGGCAAATACTTTACTGATTCAACTTAAGGCATTCTTTCCAGCTGTTCTTTCTAGCTGCAGATTTTTGCTAACTGGTCCCTGAAAAAAAGTCAAGAGTTGAAAAAACAACAAACAAACAATCAAACGCGGAAGGCTCTATTCTATTCCAACATACCCTGTATGTGTTATTGAACAGTTTCTTGCGGCCTCCGAAATTTCATCCATTTTATGCACTTTTCCTTCTGATCCAAAATATTTTATTTATCATCTCGCCCAGCTCTAATTTCATTGTATATTGGTTGATTTTTTTTACAGATGTGTGATTTTTGGTATTTATTATTCCTTGGTGGTGACTGAATTTTAAATACTTATAAATACTTACTTTAAATGTTTATCAGGTAAACAAGTCTAGGATTGAAAGAAATATGTCTGCTCGCTTGAAGTTCAGGGACAAAGACCGAAAAGTTGCTTCTGAAATGTAAGTGTCAGGTCCTGCCGAGAGCTTTGGGTTCTTGATTTTATGCTGTGAGAAAGCTGATATCTCAAGCATAGTCCCCTTTTTACAGGTTACGTTTTTCATGTTGAATTGAAAATTGCGGGGTCTCCCTGTAAGGGTCATTATCATGTAGTTTCGAATACTCTATATTGTCATCTCTTCCATGCAACATGAAGTGAGATATGTCCCAAACTTTCCGACGCTGAAGGGTGATGTCACTCAATCCTTTCCCTGCCCACTTTCCGCGCTTTACTCGCTGTTTCCGTGTGAACCTTTGTCACTATATCTCGCAGGTGCGGGTTACATATGTGCGTTTTTACTAACCCTCACTGAGTACAGGCTCCACTCCCCTCTAAATCACCAGTCCGACTGTCCCCCTCCCCAATGGACACAATTAACAGTCGGCTTTGGACAACGTTGACTGGAACTTGCCGATGTCCAACGAAATCCTTCCTGGGGTCGGACATGATAACCGGACAGGTCAAATACCAATAACTGTCATTTGAAGTAATCCTTTAAAAAAATTAAAATGTTTGGCCAGCCACTTATCTGGTTTGTCTGAAAGTCCCAGTGACATGATCCGACCCCGGAAAGCCGTTTTACTTTTGTTGTGCTTATACATTGTCTAGCCGTTCAAAGTTCGTATTAACAGAGCGGAAACTTATTGAACGGTTCCATGTGAACGAAGTGGCCGGTCAAATTTGCCGTCTGAACGAAGCTTTTGATTCTAATAAAGCGATTTTCGTACGACCTTGAAATGAAAACGCGCGAACAAAACAGAAACAACAAACGAACGGAAATAGAGTGATTTGATTGGTTTATCGAACGGATACAAACGCGCGTGGCTTTTGGTTGGTTAGGCGAACGCTCGGCTGAAAAACTTCATGCCCGAAGAGCCTTCTCGAAATCAATCGATACTTCGCTTTGACATACTGCAACACACTACTGGCCAATCGAACAATGCCTTCTCCATATTAGGGTTGTCTGTGGCGGGAACACGAAAAGTCCATGTTTTGATCTTTTCATCCATTGGCTTATGAAACAAATAACGAACACTTACCGAAACCATTTCTCAAGGTCATACGAAAATCGCTCTATTTGGCTTTTGGATCGAAAAGTTATCTGTACTTTCGAGAAACGGTCCCCGGACTGGACGTATGTGATGTCCTTTCCTAAAATAACGATAATATTTGTAGCCCAGCCCTTCATAAGGATATTCTTTCTTATTTCAGGACTGAGGCCGAGTTTCAGTATTGTAAAGCGGCCAAGCAAATAGAGCTGACAAGAACAGAGGTCTTTGCACTGACGCAGCAGTTTGAGGCTAACTTGAAGCGGATTGAGGTCAGATTGGCACCCCTTTAATTCAAAAGATGCTTAGAATTAAAATATATTTTTTTTATTTTTGAAAATTGTTCTCAATGTGCGTACGAGCATCCCGGCAGGGAGGAGGGGGTGTATTGCCACGTACATATTCATATATGGGTTGCCCGCTCCACTTATAAGCTTCCCCCGGTTATAGGCTCATATACCTGTAAACAATATATACACCCGTTTATAACCCTCCGGATATAAGCCCCCCCACCTCTAGCTTGTATTGAAATTAATTCAATATTTTACGACGTTTTGAACCTTCAAAAAGCGAGTAAATTGAAAAAGTATTTTGATCAGCATCGTTGTCGCTTGTTTTGAAACTCTGTTTTTAGTCTGGTTATAAGCTCCTCACGGATGTAAGCCCTTCCTAAAACCTGTTTCGAAGGTGTTTAAGCCCAGGGCTTTTAAGCGAAAGTTTTACGGTATGTAGGTACGCGATAGGCTGTATAAGCGGGTTAGTCTGGTGTAGTGTTTAGAAATCAGGGTCCGTTTCTCGAAAGTCCCGATATTTAACGGGCCCGCAAAGCCGTTGTTGTTTACATGCAAGATAGAGATTTCAATAGCTTGGCATCTAACATGATAAAACTGTCAGTTAATGAAGCAAAATGCAGTAGCTAGCCAGGACCTCGCGCTTTTATTCTTTATATTTCGATTTGAATATGTGATTTCGTCCTGAAAAGTTACCGGGACTTTCGAGAAACCGGCCCTCAACATTTGGTTTAGATAGGGGATCATTTATTGGAAACTGACGAGTAGTGTGAAGAATTCATAGTTAGTTCGGCATATTTAGAAATTTTTAATTGTTAGCCCTTCATAGGGTTGTAAAAGAGCATGGCTTTAAAATCAGGGTCCCAGCCGCATAACCTACGCCCTATATTCCAAGGAGACCCCTCGGCAGACGGGGTGAACGTTTTGCGCTTGAATAGAAAACGTAATTGGTTTTTAACAATCGTGTACTGAACAAAAGTACCTGGGGCGGTGACGCGTTTTGTTTGTAAGTTAAGCCTATATCTTTGGAAAGATGAGGTTATGTGTGCCGTTCCCCCACTCCGCGCCCCAAAGTAGAGTGTTGAAGCCCACGTTGTAATTGTGGGTTCACACGTTTCACATTGTAGATGGAGTAGAGGAAGTGGACTGACCATATGTAGTTTCAGCTGCGTGCGGTTGTTATTTTGCGTCTGTATGAGAGAGCGACAAATACAAATTTATCCATTTTAGATGTGGCTAAATTTATTGTAGGCAAGGTTAAACTTCAGCCAATGTGACCAGCGTCTTTGCTATCTCAAGCATGTGTTCTGCGTTGGCGCGCCTTTGGATTGCAGGGCTTAATTCATGCATTGTTGTTTTATAGGAGAAAGGACATGCGTTGAAGAAAAGTCTCGCGGAATTGGCTATTGCTGCTAATCAGCTTTCGCTAAAGAAGAGAACACAAGAAGTGGACGATGGGCGGTAAGTATAATTCAACAGCCTCACTTGAAATTAAAAAAATGATTTTTATGCGAATAAATACAGTTGAACCTGTCTGCAACGGCCACCTTGGGGACAGAAGAAGGTGGCGGTTGTAGAGAGGTTTAAAGCAAGAGTCAATGTATGGATTTTTTTGTCCGCTGGGACGAAAAAAAGTGGCCGTTGTAGAGAGGTGGCCGTTAGCGGACGTTATACTGTATCAGGGAAACCAATTGCATTATCCGCTGGATGGTAATTTATCTTGTGGATAGCGTTATCCATCATTTGAAAAGCTGGGGCCCCGAATCAGTTCATTTTTCCAGTAGTCTACTGTAATTTTATTATATACTTTTTCGAGAAAACCGCTTTGCATAAAGCCAGTGTTAAGCGTTTTCACCTTTGGAACACGTAGGCCGATATTTCTACAATCGGCGACAAAATGAGTTGAGACACTTCGCCCAAAAGTAGGCTTTTTTACGATTTATGATGTTCAAAAGGAGGAAATATAGCTTTCCTCCCCCATCCCCTCCGTACAATGTTGGGCCCTTGTTCTAGCTACCCATAGAAAACAACAAACACCCCAACTTTGAATGGAGGGGACAGGGGAGGGGTGCGGATTCTTTTGTTCTCCGTAGTCACCTTATTTAAGTACAATGTCTCAACAATTTTGTCGCCGATTTTAGCCTTACAGTTATTTTACGCTACTGCTCTAAGCAGAACTTAAACTTGTTTCTTTGCATTTCTTTATGTAGCGTTTATTTTTCCTGATTTTCTTTGTAGTTATGTCCAAGACACAAGCATCAAGGACATTCAGGTTGGCTACGATTAAAATTCTTACATTTCCAAGGTTTCTTTCTTATACGCACGATGTGCTATCCTACAGTCTTTTCCCTTGCGATCAGAGGTTTCTCTGTTGCATGGATTTTAGCCAACTTCGTGACAGACAAGCCACGGGAACGACTTCGTAAACGCTAAAAGCCATGCCAGAAGGAAACCTCTGCTCGTATAGGGTGGCAGTCTAAGGGCGCTTTTCATTTGTCAGAACTGGCTGGCTGGACCATTGCCCGACCAGTCAGTTTGAAAATAAAATAGGCTTTTTCCAAGAGTTTTTGCTGAAAAACCATCTCCTTCGTGCATACTATTCAGGATTTGACAGATCTGGCCAGAGAGTTTTGATTAAAAGGGAAATTATCATTGCGATGGGAATGGTCTGGCCTGTCAGTTGTGACAAATGGAAAGCGCCCCAAGATACATGTATATGCCGAAATGTAGTGTGTTCTCTACGGATTGAGGTTCTGTTCGGTTGTGCCTGTACTGTTCACGCTAAAAAATCAAGTTTTTTTTTTTTTAGCAATTTTAACACGAATAACAGCTGTTTCCTTTTTTAGATGCCCGAGAGCACGGTGTGAAGGAGCAAAAAGATTCAATCTGCTTGCTCCTTTTGCTGTGTTCTCGCGCGTCTCCTGTGTTTCTCTGGCCTAGCTAAAACAAAACCAGTAAACTGCTGCGTAGTGGCTAATCGCTTGGCAACTGCGAGTTGCTAATGTTGAAATTCGAATTATTATTTTTTCTTTCATTTAGCAAAGTTATTCAGATCATTTCCTTTCTTCATTTGATTATTGCGTAGAATTCAGTTGTGAACCCTTCATTATTACGTCTGTGTGAACTGCGGTTGGAGACACGAAAGTAAATGTGTTCCTCGTCGTTAAATGAACCGGCTAAGAGGTTGACAAAGGTCCTGAAAATTACCGGAAAACTAGCCCTGACCTCTGCGATGGCTTTCGTCCGCAGTTCATGTGTATGATTGATGTCGCATTCTCTGATACTGAGTCATCTTGTTTTCACATCGGGCACATCACAGACTCACAGCAGGGTTGTTCATTTACAGCTGCAACTCTGCTTATTACATCCATTATCATCATCATCATTATCATCATCATCGTCATTATCATCATCATCATCATCATCGTCCTCATCGTCATCATTATTATTTTTCTCATCAGTATCAGTATCATTATTAGTATCAGTACCAGTATCGTCATTATCATTGTAATCGTCAGTTTAAAAATAGATTTCATGTTGCCGTGCGTCTGTTAAGAAATATATCGCAGATGACTTGTAAATGTGGTAAAAACACGGAAGTGCGGCTCGTGTGTCACTGATGTTTTAACCACATTTTTACGTCCTCTGTGTTCTGTTACTGAAGAGACCCACAGCAACATGGAATCTATTTGTTTTATACGATGAGAACATAATGACATAAACATACTTGCCTCGTACCGCTTGACTGTTCGAGGATAAGTCTCAGACGTTAACTTTCGTCTCTGCTTGGTCTTTCCTTCTTCATCTTACTTGTACACAGTTTCTCCGAAACGTTTTCCAACGACTTCACTTGTTAGGACCAGAATAATGAGCAAAACATTTTCCAAACCTGTGAGTCTCGCTTATCGATAAGACGCCATGGCAATTGTTGTGAGGATTTCTTGCAGTTTAGGCATTCTCAAGTTGTCAAGAACTCTTTTTGTCTCCGTTTCTCCATTCTTCTTTTTCGTAACTTACTCGTGCTAAACTACTTGTGAGGCTTTCACTTGCTCAATCCGAAATAATCTCACAAACATTTTCAAAACCGCGCGCCATATTGAACGAAACAAAAAAAAACAAGTTTCCCGTGACGTCATCCATGTAACTATACCCTAATAGATCAAGGGCAACGACCAATTACAGCGCAGGTAAAATTCACATCATTGTATAAACCAGAATTAGTTACATTATCAGTATATTTATCGTATCAGTGTCATTATCATTTAAGTTAACTTTAACATTAACATCAACATCAACATTAATAGCATTAATATGTACATTTTCATTCACATTTTTTATCAGTATCGTTATCGTTGTTATTATCGTTATCAGTTTAACAAATAGATTCCATGTTGCCGTGCGTCTGTTCAGTAATAGATCACAGATGACGTCAAAATGTCGTAAAAACAAAGAAGTGGCACACGAGCCGCAGGCGAGTGTGTCACTGTTGTTTTTACCACATTTTGACGTCCTCTGTGATCTATTACTGAACAGACCCACGGCAACATGGAATCTATTCAGGTTGTTTTATACAATGATCAGAAAAGAAAAAGACCGATACACATACCTGCCTCGAACCGCTTGACCTTTTGAGGATTTGTGCTAGTTTAGGCATTTTTTAAGTCCCAAATCCAACTTTTCATCTTAGCTTCTTCTTAATCTTACTTGTGTACAGTTTCTTCGAAAAGTTTTTCACCGTCTTTTCTTGCTCAAAGAAGAATAATAGCGAAAACATTTTGCAAAACAGCGAGTCTCTCGTAGCGAAGACACACGATGGCAACTGTTGTGAAGATTTCTTGTAGTTTAGGCATTGTCAAGTAGTCAATAGCTTTTTTGGTCTCCGTTTCTCCATTTTTCTTCTTTGTAAATAGCTCCTGCTAAACTTTTTCCGAAGCTTTCACTTGCCTCAATCCAAAATAATCTCACAAACATTTTCAAAACCGCGTGCCATGTTGAACAAAACAAAGAAAACAAGTTTCCCGTGACGTCATCCATGTATCTGTACTTTAATAGATCATGGGCAACGACCAATCACAGCGCGCGTAGCATTCACATCATTGTATAAATCATAATCATTCTCAGTATCGTTAACATTAACATTCACATTATCAGTATCGTTATCATTATCAGTACCAGTAAAAGTTTCGTCGTTATCGTTATCGTTATCACGATCGGTATCGTTTTCAGTACCAGTATCATTATAATCACAGTGTTCTCCCTAAATTTTAGCTTAGCAGGTAAGGGAACATTCTTGACCGGTAAGGCCAAAAATATGTGCCAGAGGCGCAATCTCCTGCCAGGGGAGGGGCTTCGCGTTCATGAAGGCTTTTATTTTCGAGCATCCTCTCAACCAATTGACCGAAAAGTATTTTAAACACCTCAAAACAAAGAATTTTACGAATGAAGGCTGCCTTTGCCGCTAGGGTCAATTTAGTAACACAAGTCGCGGAAGTCGCAAACTTTTCCTGCTGGTCGAAAAAGCTTAGAATTGGGACAGAAGCCCACGAAAAAATTGTTAGCCTGCAGTGCTTTGAAAGGTGCCAGTCAGCACCTAATAAAGTAATAACGGAGAATAGCTGTGTATACTTTTTTTCCGTATTTACTTCCTTTTCTTGAGGGGATCGGCTTGGATCACAACTTGCATATTTTTTGAAACAATTTATTTAATTTTAGTAACACTTCAAGAGGTTGCAGGCGGTAATAAGTGTTGCTTCAAGCGGTAAATTTTACCGGTTACCGCCTGATAAGGAGAACACTGAATCATCGTTATCATTATTTCATTATCATTATTTCATTTTCATTTTCACTCTCATTTATTGGTTTATTCAGATATTTAAGCTAGTCTAGGTGGGTAGTGTCTGTTTTAAACAAAATACGCACTCCAAATGGTATTGTATTAAATTAACAGGTCAACAAGAGTCGTTTAAGCTTATATAAATATATTAAGTTGTACTCAAAATTTCATTACTAGTGCGGAGCTCAGTAACACACGTCTGCAAAGTACCAGAACGTGTGCACTCATTACTTTAGCCATCTGCCGGGCACGTATTGTAGACACTATAACTTGAAGTGACCTTTTGCCCTCTGCTATGTACAGGATGACAGGCGACGCAACCAGGCTTTGACCGAGAAACTCAAGTAAGTGACTGTGATGAGTTTAAACACGTGTAAATATTCCCCAAGAGCCCAGCAAACATACTCTCGGATATGAGTCCCCCAAGAGATTGCTCGCAAAACACCGTATTTATTCCATCAAACGCCGCGGTAAATTTTTGCGTTCCTGATACGGCGTTTAATCAATTGCGGTGTTAAATTCGAGTTCGGCGTTTATTTGAAAAATCATTTTTCTTACATTATTGTAAATCACTGACAAGAATAGTTATGATAAATCACTTGTAAATATTATGTAAACAGAAAGAGGTAAATCGCAATTGTCTGGATGATGTAAATTGTAAACTTGTACCGAGGTTTTCCCCTATAATCCTCCAATAAACGCCGCTTTTTTTCTGACTTGGGTGCGGAGTTTATTCGAGATTGTGTCTATAATTATTGCTACTGCTCAGTTTGCGGCATTTGATTGAGTTAACACGGTACATCCTTTAGTAATGTTTAACCGGTTTACAGTCCCCTATCTATAAGATAGAAGTAAAGGCGTAGATTCTCTGGTAAGCTCAATACTTCACTTTCTTAAATGTAGCAATAGTTTTCTCTTTTGATCTTCTTTGTGGTGAAAGTAACATATTGTCGTGTTTTTTTTTTGCTTGTACGCAGCGAAGGGCACAAACTCCAGTGTTTTTCATATTAGGCTGGGAAGTGATTAAATGTGTATTCAGAGTGAGCTGTTGTCTGTTACGTATTTAAGCTTACTAGCGCTTGTTTATTTCCGTAGGGGTATTTCAAACCAAGGATTAAAACACGAATATAACAAGCGTCGTATGAGTAGAGATTTGATAACCTCCAAGGATATGTTGTCATTAAAGTCACGAGAAGGTTTGTTACTATTTAAGGCTTTTACTTTTCATAGGCGTGGCGACTAGAATTTATCGCTAAAATCATACATTTCTCCCCGAACTCCTTGTTGGTGAGCTTTTGACGCTGTCAGTAACTACTTGTTTCCACGAGCCTCCCTCCTATTCAGGCGTTTCAGTCTGGATTTATGTTTGTCGGGTTGATTTTTAGCAGAATTGGCTAGCGTTGTCATCATACTTCAATTTCAAATGGTAACAGTCTTTCTGCGTCTTCTAATTGCGCTAAGCTTTGCTTGCAAACAGTTGCAAGTTATTTTCGTATAACTCTAAACTTGCCAAATCACGAAGAACTCGTGATAGTAGGACTCCCTTGTAGTCCTTTATCGTACAACTATTTTAATAGTTGTTAAAACCCTTTCAGTGCCAAGTGTGGCCAAGGACAAAATTCAACAAAAATTCCCAAATTTTGTTTTGCAAAATTTTGAAAACAAATAGCACCATTTGAAAGTACAGGCAGAGGTTTCATTTGAATGGTAACATCATAGGATTTCGTCCACAGATTCAAAAGTTAGAACTATACCTTAAGGGATTCCAACATTCACTCTGGCAGTGAAAGGGTTAGTTTACCCAATAGAACGGTCTGTAATTAGCAAAATGTGTATGTCAGTTCATCGTTTTTCAGATGATGTTTGACTGCCCAGCATCTGTTCGCAGCACTATATTTACCATTTGTAACCTCTAGTATCGTGTCTTACTTGCAGAGGGACGAAAAATGACGGATATTAATCGAAGGCTACAATACAATTCAACCAGTCAGAAGCAAGCGAAGCAGGCCGCCGAATACCTTGAACTTGACCGGCAGGGTAAAGAGATCGAGGAGAGAGGGCAGGTTAGGATGATTCTGCCATGATATCCTAGTCTTAACCAACGCACGTTCTTTGCCTTGCCTCCTATATAACCCCTTAACTAATGCAGCCCCTTCCCTCCCATATAAGGAGTCTTTGGACCTTGCCCGACAGGGTAAAATAGGAATCAAGGAGAGATGGCTGGCAGGTTAGGATCTGCCCGCCAATATATCCTGGTTCTAACCCAGGCGCCTCTTTTGCCTTGCCTCTTATATAACTCCTCATCTAATTTAGCCCCACCCTCCCCTCCTCGAAAGCGAACTAAGGAGAGTCTTGAACTTGACCGACAGGGGATTGGGATTGATGAGATGGTGGAGTCTTCCTCTTCCCAGTGGCGGATCTAGGGGAAGGGTGCAGGGGGTGCCCCCCACGGGATGACCTGCAGCTTTCTAATTAACACTGTGCAGTGGCTTCACAGTTATGCAAAGTATACTGTATCGTTTGATATGTATTCTCAGCAGTTCACATTATGTTATTGCCTAGTCAAAAGCCTTCTTCGTGTTCGCTTTTAAAATTTGTGTACGTCATCAGTCAGTGAGTGGTGCACCCCCTCCTAAGAAAAATCCTGGATCCGCCCCTGCATCCTAGACTACGAGCGATCTCTCTTTTTCCTTGGTCCGAGGGAAACGCGCGAGATACTAAACCGTATTATTCTCGTGTTTTTCCCAAGGCAAGATCCGGAGTATCTCAAATGGGCTATGGCACGTTGTTTGCTATCTTTTTAAAGGAACAACGTGTCTTCACACCAATAACAATAATGGTCCAGTTTTGTTATTTGGGACTAGATCTCTAAGGCTAAACTACCATCTTTTTCAAGTTTTGAAGCTATGCCTGCAAGATGACCAAAAAGGGTAGTTCGGTCAGTGCTCCCTGATAAAATTTGTTGAATATCGTCTGCATAACTCTACAGTAACCTTTTTCAGTATTTGCCACTTGCACATCTCCCATAATGCACCTTATTTGCCCCCCAAAATTTTGCATAAGCATTGTTTTCAATTTCTCTTGGGATGGCTATAATACCCAGTAGAAATGAAAAACAAAGGTTATGCATTTTTTTTGGGGGGGGGGCGCAGATAAGGGGCATTATGATAATGGGAGATGTGCAAGTGGCGAATGGGTAAAGGCGCTATGTAATGACTTCAACACAAAATTTACCTAAAACAGCAGAATCCTTGTGACAGCCCCTTAGTCTTAGCTAGACGTCATTTTCAAAGTCAATTGTTAGGAGCTTACGCTACTCCATTAGCGACGATGGGAGGAGGAGGAGGTAGATTGAGTTTACTTAACCCGTTAAATATATACGGACATTTAATGCCAAATAGCTACGCTAATTACCCAATCAAGTACAATGGAATCAGTGTATAGTAATGCGTAGCAATCTACTATCTCACGGGTTAAGTAAAATCACTCTTAACATGCAACTTTATATTAATACACTCTTGACTTTTTGCTACAGTTTGCCGAGGCTCGACGACACCAGCAGATCGAGCAGTTGACTAAAGATAGGAAACAACAACACTACTACCAAATGGTTGAATGGAAGAAAAGATTCATTGAAAAACAGAATGAAGCAACTCGACGAGTGCACGAGGACAATGTGAAACATTTGCAGGTCAGTTTGGCGGGTGTTGTCATTGGTGGTTGATGGTGATGATGATGATGATGATGATGATGATGATCATGGCCCGGTTCCTAGAAAGATGGTTAAGTTTAACCCAGGATTAAGCGAAATTTTAATCACGATTTTCTTGCTAAGAGAATGTAACTCAAGCTTACAAAATGCTGTTGAGCTTTTACTCTGAGACACAGTAGTGATTTATACAAAATGTTTCTCTGCACTGTCCTAATGCAGCTTCCCTGATCGGTCTGCTTTGAGAACTTAAACTCACTTTCCTACCAGAATGTACCTAACCAATAACATCACTCAGATTTTCATTGCAGTGTACCTGCTGACTTCAAGTTTACTTGCAAAGTAGACAGAATAAAGTGTTTTGTCATGTTATGTTATTATGTTTTTTAATGCAATAATACCATTGTCTTTTTTCTTTTCTTGTAGCTATTTTGCTCTAGTTGTTAGTATCTGTTTCACGGGTCAAGTAAAATTACTCTATGTTGTATGTCATGTTATGTCATGTTTTGTTGTGTTATGTTATGTTATGACTGGTTCGATTTTGTCTGTCTTAAAACAAAGATTCCTCTCTATGGTGTTTGCTTAAGTTGCATACCCATGCGACTTCACGGGCATGCGCTGTTGATGAGTTATGAGTAGCTATGTTTATTTTTTGCCCTGATTCATTAGAAAGTTGTCAACAAGATGGAAGAGACCGAGCATGCGCTATACAACCGTGTGCGTGCGGCTGAAATGCAGCGTAGAAAACAGGAGCAAGATGTCCAAAGGCTCATCGGTGAAATGGAATCGCTAACGAAAGAAAATGAGAAACGAATGAAGGTATCTCGTAGAGCTGTTTTCAGTTACTCTTTTTAAAAAGGAACCTGTACTACTATAACAAATTTTCCTTGAATTGGTCGAAAGAAAGTCAAAATTCCATTTCAAAGCTCAACTAATTAACTGTTCTGTTCTGTTGAAGTTACAAACCTCAACCCACACACTAACCAGTTTAAACAAGTACAACTCGAAGCAACCAAGTATTGCGGAGTCAGAAGAGAGAAATCTTGTTTGATCTAGTCAAGCTGGTTTTTGGTTATATGACTCCATATAAAGCTTTATGGCCGTGCCGATTACAGACACGTGGAACCAAACTAACTTACTAACTTGTGGAAGTATTCAGTTGTCGTCTTCAGTGGCACCCAACGTCAATTTTCGGAAAATATCTGTTCGGAAGACGATTTGGGATCTAGAATTTCCGGAACATTTGTTGTAAATTTTCTTGCTTGCCTGTCTCTCCTTGGATTTTCGAACATGTAAAAAATGGTATAATTGCCCATTTTTAACGGATTTTTACCCTAAAAAGGTCACCTAGAATTTTCGGGAGCCTTTTTTCTGGCTGCAATTTTCGAAAAGATAAGTTTTGATCCCTATAATTTTCGGATCACTAGACTTTCAGCTAGGAAATCCGAACAGATGATGAAAAAATTTTAGGGGATAAAAATATGCCTATATCTACCGTTTAAATACTAAAATACGTTGAACAATGCTATGTTTAAGTGGTTTTGAACTATATTCTCGTTGGGTGCCCCTCTCTTCTTCCTAAGAACTTACAGTCTCTAAACACTAGACCCGCGTTGTTCAAACGTTGGATAGTGCTATCCAGCGGAAAAATCACTATCCATCGGATAAGTATTAGGGAAACCAGTTGCGCTATCCAGTGGACAGTTATTTATCCATTAGCGTTATCCATAGCCTGCAGTGAAGGCGTTTTCATCGGGTCCGCGAATGTCTTTGCTCGCGAAAGCGCCATGTTGAAACTCCCAAAGAGAGGACTCTCCCCAATCTTCCTCTGTCATAAAATCAAAGATGGCGGCTACATCGTAACAATGCGAACATGGTGACAAGCTTTCGCCCACCCAAAATACGCCTGCACTCCAGGCTACGTTATCTACCTTTTGAACAACTTGGGCCAGGCCTCAATAATTCAAAAGCTGGATAACGCTATCCACCGGATAAATCGCTATCCAGCGAATAAGTAAGAGTGTCCCCAGTAGGGTTCGTCAATCCCGTAATCCCGCCCCAAAACTTCGTGCAACCCCGTAGTCCCGCGGGTTATTTTTGGCAGCCCACCTCCCGCGCATACTTTCAATCCCGAATCTCGCCCTGATTTCGCGTTAAAACTGATCTCGAATCCCGAGCTTCAAATAAGGGAATTCCCGTATCCCGAAAAACTTATTGAGGACACTCAAGGTAGTCAAACATTGCATAACACTGTCCCCGGGATAAATCGCTCTCCAGTGGATAAGTATTAGGGAAACCAACTGCGTTATCCACTGGATAAAGATTCATCTAGTAGAAAGCGTTATCCACCTTTTGAACAACTGGGGCCAGTGCTTGGAACACTATCGCGTATCAGCACTCACTGTTTACTATTTCAATCTGTTCTCATGCGTTTTATACTTGTTAATTTTAGGAAATTCAAGAACAATATGACCGCAAGAAGGTGGAATTAGCGCAAAAGCTCTTGCGAGAGAAGGCTGAACTTGCAAAGGTATTCTGCGTCCGGAACTTACTCTTTTCTTCTTTCATGCAGCCATAACATACGGCTCCTGTTGGAGGACCAAGCCCTTAGAGTGATGGGCGTCAAATTTCTCCTTGCAATATCACAGCTTAATAAAACAGCGTGGTCTTGAGAATTAAGGACATGATCACACAAGATGAAGTCTACTTCATACTTCAGCAAATTCTCCCCACTACTTCTGTTGTAAACGTATAGGGATAACAAATGAGAATTTGAATTTTGATGTTATGGTTTAAAAGGCTAAGCAGAGGTGTTTTGGAGTGACTCACGTCAACCGGAACTGTAGCCTCCCCGCAGACGTCCTTTGGGGTTCGTTCGTCACGCATTCATTTCTCCCGCACGGAGAAATAAATGCGTGACGAACGAACGCCAAAGGACGTCTGCGGGGAGGCTACCGGAACTGAGGCGTGCTCCCTTTTATTATATCTTGACGCTGCTAAATACCTAATGCTTTGTTGTCTTGCTCTTATCGAGTTGAACTGCCCAAAGATGTAAGCGGACCACTGCCGAATTTTGCAAAATGTCCACTTCCGGTTTGATGTGCGTCGCTCAAAATCGACTTTGCTTTAACTGCCTACAAAGATCTTCACCCCCCGACTACCCAGCCATACCAAGGACAGCTTAGTAAGAAGGAGTAGGCAATGCTAGATATTTGTTACACCGTGGTTGATTTTGTTTGTTTGTTTAGTCGTTTTTTTTTTTTTGGAATGTGCACTCCTCCAGGAGCATTTGAAATTAATGGTTTATGCAAAATTTGGGGAAAACAGTCTTTTATTGGAGAATCAAAAATAGAGCATGAATGAGCCTTTGCTGACCATTCATTGCTTTCTATATCACTCTGTTCTTCAGGGCCCACTTGTTCGAAGACCGATTAGCGCCAACCCGGGGTTAAATTTAAATCCGGGTTTCTTTTTCTTTTGTTCAAAAACATCTCGGAAAAATTTCCCTACTGTTTTTAGAGCATAAAATCATCAAATTGTAGACAATAAGAATGAAACTGAAATTGCTTTTAAGCTTTCATGTCTGAATTCAAATGTGGCACAAACCCTGGGTTAACTTGACCCCGGCTTTGAACAACTCGGCCCAGATTTTATTGGTGTTATAAATGCAGTTCTTTTGTTCTATGTTTCACAGATAGAGCAGCCAATAACTTAAAAAAACCATAATCCCATCAGTTAAGCGGTCCTCGAGGCTAATTATTAGCCAGTCAGTAACTTAGTCAGATTTTAGGTGAATCAGGCATTTAGTCAGTCAGATGGTCTTCTTGTGTTTTAGGATAATTTTACAATTAGTTGAAAAGGAAGTCAGTTCGTTAGCCAGTCATTGTGTGAGCCGATCAGCCAAAACCAGTGAAGTCATTTTGTAAACCAGTCAGACAGGTCAATCAGTCAGTCAGTCAGCGAACCAGTCAGTCAGCCAGTCAGTCAGTCAGTTATCGATCAGTCAATCAGGTAAGCCTGTTAGTCAGTTCACCGTGTTCCCACTGAGCCCCTCGATCTCCTAGATCTTTCCTCTGCCATCTGCTAAAGGCTCTCTGAACCATATATATGGCAGCGTGGCCGAGCATTTAGAGCGTTAAACTTGCAATCCAGAGCGCTTCGACTCCGACCCATTGATAATCAGTCCGCCCATTTTTAGAAAGAAAACTGTTTAACGCTTATTTGCCTTGTTGCCGTTAGAATGCTTGCAGTCCGCCTTTTCTCTTAAAATCAACCAGCGCGATTGCCAACAGCGACATTACAATAAGTGATTTAATAGGACGAGACGAGAAAAGACTCGGCTCGCCGCTCCCGTGCATAGGTTACCCAGGGGCGAGAGCGGACAAAATAAGAGACTGATCGCAGTCTATTTTGCTGTTTGCTTATCGATTTTTTCTATTTCATTTTGTTTTACTTTGTTACTAATTAGGCACATAATCAACGCGAGGAAAGTATTCAGAGGTTATATCAACACAGAGCGAGACTGAACGACGAGAAATACCTGCTCAGCGAGGGAGAAAGGGTAAGTTACTGTAAAGGGTTTGGAAACTGAACAAGTGACAGCTATTGGGACAAAATTGGAACGCTTGAAATGGGAACAGGACGTGGAAAATGTGGGCAACTTGAGTCAACTCAACACGAAAGGGTTTTTTTAAACATCAGGCGTTAGTTGTTCAAAAGCTGGATAGTGCTATCCAGCCGTTAAATCACTATCCAGTAAATAAATATTGGGGAGACCAATTGTACTATCCAGTGGATAGAGATTTTATCCGGTGGATAGCGCTATCCACCGGTTGAAGAACTGGGACCAGTGCGTTTCTTTATATTAATTATGTTGAGTGAACCCCTTCGGCAGTGGATCTTTTTTTTCTTGTTTAATTTAACCTAAAATTTCTACGCTTGTCATTTGTACTCCACGTTTATCTCCTCCTCCACCGTTCAAAAACTCATAAATAAATTATAAGGAAAAAAAAAAGTTTAATGAGTGTCTTTGTATCTCACAAAGAGACGGCTTAACTTTACGTCCAATTTTTTAGACCAAAATAACCCTAAATCTAAATATTAGTGCAAGAATTAGTTGAGTTGATCTATATCAGAGATTATGAGGCCGTTCAAAAACACACAGGAGTGTAGTATCAAGTTTAAAAACTCTCGGCTTCGCCTCGAGTTTTTAAACCTAATAATACACTCTTGCTCGTGTTTTAAACAGTACTTAATCCTTTGTAGCAGTTATATACAACGCACTACAAAGTTTTAAATATATATATCCTTTGAATACATCTGTCTCTCCTTCCTACTCGCGGGCGAGGATCGAGGGGAGGTGGCTGTATTCGTAGGTTATTAAATTTATGACATGGAGGGACTTACAGGGCGAGAGTCAGATTTATGCGTTTCACCTGGTGAATAAGGTCGGTTTACTTCCTTTAAGTATAACCAACTGAAGCTTAGTAGCCGCAGAGTCCATGATCTTCAAACAATCCCATGAACTAGATGTTCAGCAAGACTATTTTTTCTGAACGTGCAGGAATAGGTGGGAAGATCTGTTAGAAAATAAGTACTCGCGCGCACTTGCACTTATCTCCACACTTGTGGGGATACCTCGGCTGGTTTTGCCGACGAAACACGCGTTACAACGTGCACATAAAAATTTATGCATTACACGCGTGCACTGTCTCTTTTCAAGGTAAAGTGTTTTTTATTTTTACGGATTCAATCGAGTCAAAGAGTCCTATTGAATAAGAAATACAGTTTATAGTTTGACTCGCTTTGCAGGTCCATCCACCTCAGGGGCGGATCTAGGGGGAGGGTGCAGGGGTGCACCCCCCCGAGATGACCTGCGGTTTTCTAATACAACTGGTATTCTACAAAAACAAAAAAAAAACTATGTGGTTTATTGGTGTTGAAGTAGAGCAAGAGACGAGTGCAACCCCTCCTAAAAAAATCCTGGATCCGCCCCTGCACCTCCTTTTTCACGCAATATACGCGCAAAATAAAATACTCCAAATATCGTGAAAGAGCGCCTCTTACTATAACTTGCTACTACAGGATGTATTTCATATTTATAAAGCTACAATCTGTTAATTTTCAATAAGTATTTATCAAAACTTTCATTACAAACACTCCTTAGGAACATGACCGTCTAGCGAAGATTGGCCTCAGAACAGACAACCTCGAGCAGGAAGTTCATTCATGAAGAGTGGAAAAGCTGTGTTTATACGTCGAATATTTTGAATTGCGTGCGAGTGGTCCGTTTGCCTTCGAGTGCCGTTATATATACTTTGTCATCCAATGACCAAACGTTTTTTCTAAGGCCCTGATCACACTAATACGTTTTAAAAAGTATGCGTTTTCGTTGTCATCGATAATGCATCGATCGATTCGCGTCCATGCTACCGTTTTGATGGATTTTTGACTGTCGACACAAAAACGTTCGAAAACGATAGAATTGCACGTTATGACGTAAGTCAGTGAACTCTATGCGCAAGCTTCAAACACTCGCGCATGTGATATTTTCGGTCATCGTTTTCATTTTGATCGGTTTTGATCGTCCACACTAATATGATATGTATTCTTTTTCTTTTTGATCCACTTTCAAGAGCGTTTTCAAATCGATGCGTTTTCGATGAAAAAGCTCAGCGTGTTATTGTGGACGGAAAGCCTAAAGGCATCCTGATGTATGCCTTTTAAAACTATGACTCATTAGTGTGGACGGGGCTTAAGTAAACATTTCAGAAGCCTCTTTCCTAGACTACCTCTGGTCACTCACTTCCGTTTCCTGCGAGGGAGTTGAGGAGAATGTCCAGACAGATCAGATCGAATTGCTTTATGGGACTGAAGTGCTATTAAAAGATCCTTGAATTCCAGCTTCTTCTTTGGACAGCAGCTCTCACATTTTGCCCGGAACCACTGCTTGCTTGTCGTAGTTAATGATTTACTTAGAGGATGGCTTTCCTGGTAGACCTGCCCGTAGACAAGTGAGTTTTAATTTTATCAGTGGCAAAGAAAAGCGAGCAGTAACACTTTGTTCGTTGCCTCCTTTGTAGCTGTGGCTCAACTTTTTGAACAGTGCTGTACTTTTTAACATTCTTCTTGCTTCTTCAAGCAATGTTAAATCAAGGACGCACTTAACTGGTTAAAAAACGAGAACTAAAAACCTTGTAATGATGTGATATCATGTGATACCTCTTTTCGTACGGGAATGAAAATTCGCATTTGAGTGTAATGAGTTTTATAATGAAAGCTATATTTTTATATATCATATAGAAGTTTGGTGTTTTCTTTTAGAATTATCCCCTTAGCTTGACCTATAGTGGCTTCGAAAAACAGACACCAAGAGTTGATTCTAGCCTTTTTCACAGGGAGCTGTTACATTCGATTAGATTACAATCAACTCTCTCATAAGTAGGTTGAGTATGATCGTCCGGGTGAAGGTAGTCCTCAATAGGACTGTTGTTGTTGACAGTGACTGACGTTTTGTGGACCTGTGGGGTAGTCATCTTGAGAGTCAAAGTGAGTTGTATCACGTTAGTTGATGGTATTTAACTATGGTTATTGACCTGATTGGTCTATTAAGTAACGATGTTATTGGTTGTCTGTCAGTTATATCATATTAAAACAACTAAACGAAGTTTTCGATTTCCCTTGAAGGTTCGAGTGATTGGGAGTCGCTTGTAGTTGTCTCGCGTAGTGGGAGGTGTGACCGTATTAGGAGCCCTGGCGGTGGCAATTGTATTGTGATACGCTTGAAAATTTGTTATGGAAAGCGAACAATATTTTGTACGTCACACAACGGAAGAAAATATACAGTGGTTGAATAACGCCGCATTTTCTTTTGTTACTTTTGATATTTTATCCTTTTGCTTGGTGTAGATAGTGCGCGCGCACACTTTAGACAGACTCGTACCCAGTATTTTGGGGTGAGAGAAGGTTGGGGTTAGGTTAAGGCGCGCGGAGACTCTGGAAAGCCGGGGGACGAAAGAAAAATAGCGCCCCTTCCCAAGAAAATGCTCAGGGATTTCTCCGAGGGGACAAATCAAAGTGGCCTAAGCAAGCCTGGAGGACTACCATGAAAAAGAGAGAAGGATGCTCGTTCGGAGGAAACTAAAATAAGAGTTTGTGGTACACCAGAGGAGACCAACTGGGCGTGGCACAAGCTTTATTTGATCGACCTCTGAAGGAGACCATTCTCCAACACAGTATGATGACGTTTATTTACCTGGATATTTCTTTATGAGCGATAGCCTTTATAGGTTAAAATATCAGCTTTCCGACCTAAACATACCTAGTCTCTCAGCCGTTTTTGTCTCGTCACGCGAAAATTGAGAGGAGCGTTGAGTGACGAGACAAAAACGGCTGCAAAAGAGACTAGAGCACACTCTGGGTGCCAGGGACTTCTCATGCGCGGGTTTCCGGTTTCTGTCAAATCTTTATAGTGACACGAGCGAAAAGTAAGTTTTTTTTTCCTTCACCGTTTGTCTCTTCGGCCTTCAGGTGTCGACTTGCGGCCGAAACATCTCTGATGCAGTCGATCGCCACACGCGAGATATAAACCTGTGTCAACCAGGATATTCTGAACACCACAAGTGAGATAAAACTGCTATTACCTGTAAGAGTCATTTTCATAGAGATGTCGGCCCCAGGAAGCAAGGTGGTCATGGCGGAGTTCCACTGTATTCTACAAGTATGCTCATATTTGGACATAGGATTTCGTTCTGACATTTATACTTTTACGCTAGGGTAGGAGCCGTGGGCTCCTGGTTAGGGTGTTGGATTTATCTAAATCTAAATCTAAATCTAAATATCGTTATGTCGGCAAAATCGTTTGGGACATCACGCCAACTCTAAGATAATAATAAATAAAACTATACCAGAATATACAAAACTATAAAAAACTATTAAAAAACTATTAAAAACTATTAAAAAACCACTGATAAAAAGAAAACTAAATTAGTTTGCTTTTAAAAATACAGAGGGATTGGCTGGAAACAGTTCCTTCTGGAAGTTTGTTCCATTCAGTTATTGTCCTGGGAAAAAAAGAAAATCTAAAAATATCTTTATGTCCTTTCGGTACAATAAATTTAAAATCATGGCTTCCCCGGGTTCTCCTTTCTTTGCTTATTTTCAAATAATCCCCCCAGTCCCCATCTAGGAGGCCGTGGCACATCTTGTACATAGTGGAGAGCCTTGCGTGTCTTCTCATTGTTTCAAGTGTGTCCCACAAGTTCATTGTCCTCGAGCACTCTCGAAGCAAACGATCCTTGTTGGGAGGGTAGCTTGCTCGCAGGCTAGAGTCTTCATTGTACTGATTGCAAACTGCACACATATCAGCCCCGCATAACATTCTGTTTCTCTGATGGTAAACGTCCGATCATAATCAGAAGCACAGGGCACCAACATTTTTAGCACCCAACGCTCTTTCTTAACAAACAGGGAACCCAGCACTTCCACTTATAAGGAAACTGGACTCCAAACGTTCCAAAGGTGTAAGGATACCTGAAGGACAATAACCTTTCTGGGGGATTAGGAACAGCTACATCAACTCCTTGGAATTTAATTTTCTGTGAAGGTATCACCCATGATTGAGGAAAAGTCTCTAACTTATGATGATACCTAACCACCATATTATCCTTTACCCATGAAGGATAAAATTTGTGCAACATGACCTCGGTTTTCCCGTGAATCGTTGTGTTTACAGGTTTCCATCTTACAAAGTCAAGAGACACCGGTCCGAGTTTCGCCACCAAGCCATTTGCAACGATACCTATCTTTGCTAAATCGCGGAACGCCTCTCCTGGGTCTGAGCTTAGTAAAAGTGAAATATCCGCATCGTGATCATGACGGAGAATATCACCCGTGCGGTAAGCACCAAGAAGTGTCCCTACAATAACAATACAAAAATAAATTAGTAAAAACTTAGGTAAATATTTTGACCTCATAATCACTAGGTGGGTGGGGTGGGTAGTTAATCCTGAGTGTTCTTCATAGGGATCCACCGCACTGTTCTCCAATCCTGGAGCCCGTTCCTCGTATCTCCTTGTAAGTTTTACAGGCCTGATAATTATCGGGACTATCGAGAAACGAGCCCCTGACCCTATTTCGGACGGCAAACAAGTATACAATCCCTCGTCAATGCTGGAATAGTTTATCAAATTTTGCAATGTCTCCCTAACCCGGCGTTTGTCACTGTGGTTCTTTCCTGTCAGCACTTGAGATCTTCAGGCAAGAATTTATGTCTAAAAGCCTCACAATGTTCGGAAACAAGTGCTGAACAGGAGGGCGACACTTGTTCCTGAACACGTCGAGGGTCCCCAATGGCCTTAGTAACAGTGATGCGTCGAAAACAGGGTGCGCACACGACATAGAATTGTAAACATGATAACAGGGGACTTAAAAAGGTAGCTGTGTGTCGTAATGGAGACCTTTATTAGAGAGCTTTAGATTCTAAGACGAGAACGAGTACGAGGTTTTCTCAATACTAATTAGTCCGCGAGCGCGAGCCAAAGTCATTAGGGACTTTATAAAGATTCAACGACGCGGACGGCAACGAGAACGTCACAAAAACAATTGGTTTAATAAGTAAAACAACAACTTTGTACGTGCATCACGCTCTTTTGTACAATTCTTAGTGATTTCCTTCCTGTTTTTGCACAACTACGGCGTGAAAATGCCTAATTTTCGTTTCGTGGAGGACGTTAACAATCAACGACGAAATTTTATTTCCTTTTGTAAACTTGGCTATGGTCCCTTGAAATTCAGCTTCAGGAAGGTTCGCCTACATTTGGCAAAGTAAGTGAGTAGGAATAATCGCTATTGAGACTGAAGGAACGCATATTCACTTTTTAAGCGACGTTCTCGTCGCCGTCGCGTCGTTGGATCTTAAAGTCCCTATTTTGGCAGGAGAACGTGATAGCCGTCGTCTTAGCCTACAACGAGTTTTAGCGTGAATACCGTAGTGGTGGATGTTTGAAGTTTGATCATTTTGCCATCAGGTGAGGGCTTAACCTCCGTCAATAAAAATGACAGCGCTAACGTTTCTGGTGAATCAAGAGTACAGGGGCGTAGCCAGGATTTTTCAAGGGGGGTCACAGAGGCGACTCACCAGATCACCATCCGGGGATCACCCACTATATATGGTTTATACCGCTGCTCTCCCTCGTGTATCAGCGGGCAGGAAGGCCCATGTTAACTAAAGACAAGAGCCGTTGACGAAAATACTTTACAAAAAAACAAATTTTATAAAAGTGGGCTTTTTAACAATGGCTTTTACGGCCAAGATATTGTCATGGCGTTTTCGCCACCTGAATATTGTAGGTTGTTTGCTCAAAAAAAGGCCTAGCAAGGGGGGTGTCCCGGGCACCCCAGGACTCCCCCCCCCCCTCCCCTAGCTACGCCCCTGGAGTACAATGAAGCTTTCCAGAAAGTCAATTTTTTGTACTCGGTCAAATTTCGTACTCGTAGTCGTTCTCCAGGGTTCTCGTCCTCGAATCTAAAGGTCTCTATTTTCCGATATTTTCTTAATTCTAAGTAGTGCGCATTTGTGAATCATCGTTGTTTGGAAAAACGCATTAGCCGTCAAGTCATGATTTTCTACTACAAGTTTTAGCGAAAACGTCGTATTGGCGGAAGCAAGTTTTTGATCGTTAGATTCTTTTATCATTTCTCGATTAGGAGATGGCTTAACCTCCTTCAAAAAATAACCGTGCAAATTTTTTTGTGGAAAAAAAAAGGCAAATGAAGCTTTCCGAAATGACAATTTTCTTAGAATATGCAAAACCAAAAAAAAACAAACAAAAAAAATTCCAAATGAAATCTCAGTCGTCCGCGTAGTCGTCTTCGTCTTCTAAGAATGGAATCAAGGTCGTATTAACGAAGGTTTTGCAGGGGCTCCACTGTAAAAGATAGTAGGGACTTTAAGATAGGTGACTACGGTCGCCTGGGACGGTTAGATAGATGTCACGTCACGCAAAACACGCGTGACCTTTTACCGTCGTCCTTCTGGGACGGTATGTTTTCGCCGGGTTTCTCGTCGTGAAGACAACGGTGAAACCGATAAGAGTTCATGCATACTTATTGTCACTTTTCTTCTAAAACTGAGTAGCCAATGGGTTAAATATACGTTGGCTTGTGTTTTCATTGATTTACCTATCGGTGAAATGAAAAAAAAAAGTAAAATGTCTGAGTTCATTCATAACTTAGCTCGCGGCCGCATGGCGACTGCTTGTTTTCTACCTAGTGTCGTCCGCCATGGCTGAGGAAAATTGCCGAAAAGAAAGGTAAGGCCCAGTTAAAACGTTGGTCTTTTCATGTACCGAACTTAATACCTATTTAGGTCGACCCAAATGGTTCGAGGTTGATTCAGGCGTCGAACTTAAAGTGTAGTCGAACTCGATTCACGATGTTCAATGGTCTAGAATGCTTTAAACAAGTGAAAATAAATTTTAGTAATTTGTGCTTTAAAAGGTTCGGCACATGAGAAGTTCGACGTTTCAACTGGGCCTAACAGTGATGACTGTAGCCGTCTTTTTTACAACTTAAAACTGTATTTTTACCAAGAAAAGATTTCTTTATAACTCAAAAGGTGTTGGCTGAGGAAAGGAAAGTTCAAAATAAAAACATCGACTACAGTTTTGAAAACTAGCTAGCTTTAATTTGTACCCTTATTCCTCTGATTGGTATTCTTCGTATAAAATAAGAAACTCTTCTTCAGTAATTGAGCCTTCTGCGAAAGAAATGACGAGCGGGTTTAGCACATGACTTCACCGTCCTGTTTTGTTGTCCGATCTTAAATTGAAAATTTTCGCGGCCTCTTACCGTCATGGCCCCAGGCCGCCCGTATACGCATCCAACCGTCCCAGCCTACCGTAGTGACCTATCTTAAAGTCCCTAGTATCATTTTATGAACGCACGCAAAAAAAATCAGCGCCAAATATAAAATCGTTTAAAATTCTGCTCTTATTAATGAATCTTAGTTAAGTATAAACCTAGACCTAATTAAAAACAAAATTTATTTTACACTTTTGTCCCTGGCTTAGCCAGAACTAGTTCTTGCCTTTTGAAGCATATTTTAATTTCAATAGAAGGTTAAAACATGTTGTATTCCGGATTCTCAATTCCAGGATTCCAGATTCCCGATTTTATATTTCAAGCAAACTTATTGCAAGCCTTCATTCAATTCAAGTAATGACAATTCCCTGTTAATTATGCCTCGTTCTTCAAAATATATATGAGTTGATCCAGACCAGTTTTGTTTTTAACGATTTTTATTAGGAAGACCTTCTCAATCGATCTGCAAGTCTTGCGTGACTCGCACCTATTAAAGTCACGAAATCGCAGTCGGTAACTTCGAGCGAAGTAAAAACTGAGATTCGAAAAATTCTGCGATTTTAGTTCTTAGTTGTAACATTAATAGTTATTAATTCTACATTGACCCAAATTATGTTAGAAAGACGAGATTTTTTAATCTGATAGCTCAGTTTGGTAGGTCTTAAGGTTCTGTGATCGCAATGTAAGCTTAAACAGTTTAACTCAGTGACATTCAGCTGCTATTAAAATTTCACTTTCTAGCTCTTTCGACACTTCACTCTGAACCCTTTTTAATAAGTTCCTTGGAACTGCTAAACTTGGCTTAAATCTACTAGGAGCAGGAAACTCACCATAATCAAGCCAATACTGAACGCCATGTTTGTTGAATGCCTTCGAAATATTCTGAACCATAATCCGCAAAATTCGGCGCTTATCATCAGGCATGAAGCATTCGTCGTTGTAACCTCCACTAGCGGATGGTAAGATAACGAGGTGAAGACAAGCGATAAGAGCCATCGAAATAAGAAGCATGAATTTTAAAAGTCTGTTATTTTTCAGGAGGATTCTTACACAAAGGCGCCATCTTTGATCATCATTTCGCGGGAAGCTCATTAATATGCTGAAAGCGTTCATAAGCTTATTCACAATTCACGTCTGTAGCTTTTCATCCTACAGCGACTGAGCTAGAAAAAGAAAGCAGCTTTAAGTGGAAACACTTTGACTCTCTATCCCGGGCTGAACAGGAAAAACATGTTGCCGTGATCAGCCTGTGAACAAGGAAGTATCTCAAAAATAGAAAATTAGGAATCTGGAATGCGAAAGACCAGAGTCCGGAGTTCCTGTCCAATGTTCCACGGTGACGGAGGCAGTGCAGACTGACTGCGGACTATTGTTTTTAGGTTAGAAAGCAATGGGACTGTTGTTATCACGTACTCATTTGCATGGTGAAAACAATAGTCCGCAGTCTGCGTTTTACACTGACCGGTTGCAAATTAGCCTTTCACTCCTAGACGACTTTACTGTAACTTTTTAACCTGTGAACAAGACCCTATGATGTTACTACTCAAATGTGGAAACATCCGACAACTTTGAATACCAACAGCACCAGGACTATTTTAGCCTGCGTAGCATGGCGGTTTTGTCGAGCCGGGCGCACGAGCGGCGAAGCCACGAGAAAAGTTGCTCCCGCCCCAATCTCATCGCGGTTTCTCTGCCCTCGCCCGCCTTTATTACTTAGCGCGCCCAACCAAAACCGCCATGCTACGCAGGCTAGGACTATTTTAAAAATGTTACAGGAATTCGCAAAAAGAAATTTTGACTTTTAAATGTGTTTTTTTTTTACAATGGCAGCTATTGCGAGTGAGAAGGTAAAAATAAGCGATTGAATATTTGATGTTGCCAAAATATCTCCTTTTGAATGATTTCAAAAGGTTTACAAAAGGTTTGGACATTGTTAAACTTGCGTTCCTTGCAATTTCGGGCAATTTTTACCGGAACAGTAAGTAAATTATTCCACGCATCTTCTTGTTTCTTAGAACAAGCTATTGCCCAAACAACCTATCGAATCCTAGTTTCACGTCTTTATTCATTATCGTTTTTACATTCTTTATTGATAGGTTCTACCCTGATTCCTTTTGCAACAGCTTTTGACCGCTGTTTGAATGCGCTCCTCACGCTACTCAGTGAAGTGCGCAGTGGACCGTGTATTGTAGTTGAATATTTATCTTGGGTTGTGGAGTAACACAAGAAGAGAAGCGGAATATATTACTACCACCGCGTTTATCAAGCTTGAAGAAGTAATATATCCCACGCCTAGTTATTGATTTTTTTCTTACGAAGAGCAGTTTCGCACGTTTTGAGATGACGCCGACCAAGGTAATCGCCTTTTGTGTAGCTTGCAACAGGCTGTTGCTTCTTGTAGTAATCCAGCTTTCGGCTCTGATATTAACTGTTGAGACATCGGTAAACACGACTTATGGCCCTGTCAGTGGATTGCTTAAAACGCTTCCAACGAACAAAACGGTGGTGAACTACTTGGGAATCCCTTTTGCTCGAGCACAACGCTTCGAATACCCCGTACCACCGGACAAATGGACCTCAACACTGC